GTTGGAGGAAGGGGCGGATGCGAGAAGAGCATCTCCTCGCCGCGCAAAGCCCGTCTGCGACTGCAAGCGCATCATTGCGGCCATTATGTGAGCTTAAGCGAGGCGTGTTTGTCGCTGTAAGCTTGTTTGTGCGTAAAGAATATGATGCATGCGTATGCGTTTGTGTGCACAGTTTGGGGATCATTAATTAGGGGTGTTTCCCTGACTTCTCCTCCAGGACTTGTATAGCGTGCAGGAACAGACGCGGGCTCATTGGACTAAATGGCATTAGCACTTTGCTGGACTGCTGCCCTGGGGTCTTGTTACCAAAGCCCCTTTTGTTTTAAGTGGCAGCCTTGCATGAAGCCCCCTCGCCGCGAGTCCTTATCACGCCCGCTAGCCACTAACACCGTGGAATTTGCATTTCGGGATGGGAAGGTGTGCTGATAGTTTCCGTTTTTAATCATCTGTCTTGGGGCTAAATGTATGTTAGTCATATAGAGGGTCAAGCGTTGCATATTTGTCAGCCCCTTCCTCCCCTGAGGACGTTCCGGGGGTCCCAAGCTAACAATATGTTTCTGCTCCTTGTCTCCACAGCTCCCCCTACGGTCCGCATCATCCACTCGGGGCACGCGTGCAACGTGGAAGAGGAGCGACACACGGAGCGCGTTTACACCATCCGCGAGGGCGAGACTCTGGAGTTGAGCTGCCTGGTGACGGGACATCCTCGGCCGCAGGTGAGCCACCTGGCGTTGTGTCACAGCAGCGAGCTAAGATTGTGGAGACTGTGGCGTATCACACTGCAGCAGCCAGAGCGAAGACCCAGCAACGGGCTAAGACCTTTTTATGTTTGTTTCGATCCGAGAGGGCGTAAAGAAAATTTGGCGCCGCAACAAAGTTGTGTTCTTTGCAAACGTCACATAACCGTGATCGGTAGACAGGTGAGCTGTGATTGGTCGTTACCTGAGCAACGATGATGTCATTGAGAGGGGGTGGGGGGTGGGGTGCGCCCATCCAATCAGACCGCTCGCAGTTAAATGCCAGCTAACTTAGTCCATTTAGAGACAAATGTCAGCCGTCATCACATTTACAAACACTGGCAGAATGTACACACGCTAACCTTTTAAACACTCGCCCGACGTTGCTTCCAATTTGCTCGCCGGCACACCCCAAATCATGCGGGAACCGTGCTGTAAATCTTTACAGCAGCAAGCACATTTGCATTCATTTACATAACCCACCACCACCACCAATTTGGTCGATAGTACACATCCCAAGCATAGAGAATATTGATTTTTTTTTTTTGGATACTGCAAGAAAAATGTGAGGCTGCTTTTTAATTGCTGGCGAGCTAAGATTGTGGAGACTGTGGCGTATCACACTGCAGCAGCCAGAGCGAAGACCCAGCAACGGGCTAAGACCTTTTTATGTTTGTTTCGATCCGAGAGGGCGTAAAGAAAATTTGGCGCCGCAACAAAGTTGTGTTCTTTGCAAACGTCACATAACCGTGATCGGTAGACAGGTGAGCTGTGATTGGTCGTTACCTGAGCAACGATGATGTCATTTTCAGTCGACAGCAAGTGGCAAAATGGCCGCTAAGGACAGCTTTTCACTTGACTGCCCCTTTAACACCCTTTTAACGTCAGAGTATCCAATTTGCTCGCCGGCACACCCCAAATCATGCGGGAACCGTGCTGTAAATCTTTACAGCAGCAAGCACATTTGCATTCATTTACATAACCCACCACCACCACCAATTTGGTCGATAGTACACATCCCAAGCATAGAGAATATTGATTTTTTTTTTTGGATACTGCAAGAAAAATGTGAGGCTGCTTTTTAATTGCTGGTCATCACGTTATGTGTGTGTGTGTGTGTGTGTGTGTGTGTGTGTGTGTGTGTGTGTGTGTGTGTGTGTGTGTGTGTGTGTGTGTGTTCGAGTGTGTTCGAGAAATGTTGTGTTTATTTGTGTTTCTATTGGGCGGTTTGGGGAATGGAGCGAGGAAGCAACAAAACATTTCCCCTCCATCTTGTGGCCGTTGAACTTTTTGACACTTTGAACTGGCTCCGAAGCTCGTGACAAGTCCCGCTGGCTGTGTCTTTGAATGACCGGACGCCAACTGGACTCATCCCGGACATCCCTCAAAAGTCGGGACGGTTTTGTGGAGCATCCAGTAGCCCTCCCGAGGCTCGTTTTTGAGACGTCGACCACAAAATCCAAAGTGTCTGCAACCGGCGGAGTGCCGTGTTGAACATCAATAAGAGCTCGTCTGTTGTCCGGAATCAAGCGTCGGTTCGCCCGGCAGCAAAGTTGCGAGAGGATTTTAATTGAGTGGAGAGTGTGCACTTGATGCAAAGTCATTTGTGTTGGGACCAAAATGCCGGTGGAATTTTAAAAAAGCTGCTTCACGCCAATGTTTGGGGCTCGTGTTGATGTTGTCGCCACTCTATTCGGTTTTGTCGTCATGGATATTATTTTCGGAACTCGAGCTAGTCGCCCCCCCACCCCCCGCACGTAATTTATTTTCCAGACTAAGCACGAACCGTTTTGGCCGCCCATGTTTCTTTTTGAGGCTTTACCCTTTCAGTTTCGACTTCTGAGCGCCACACGGTTGCTTTTCTTCGCATGTTTCTTTTCGCCGTTCGACCTCCTCTTTTGGTCAATTGGTGTTTCTTTTCGGGGGCTCTTCCAAATCTGTTCCATCCACAGATGTTCTTTCCAGAGCTCGACCTGGTCTGGTTCATCTATTGAGGTTTTCTTTTCAGCATTCCACCTGTTCCTTTTTCATCTGTAACGTTTTTTTTTTTGCAGCATGTGTTACTTTTTGGTGCTCCGCCCGCCCTGTCTTATTCGTGGATTTTTCTTTTCAGAGCTCTGCACGGCCTGTTTGATCTGTAGATGGTTTTTTTTTTTTACTTTTCAGTTAGCTTCCCCCTTTGACATTCCTTTTCTCCGCTCGGTTTTGTTTGACCCGCTACGTCGCTTTTACCTGCTTTACCGATATGCTTTTCACCCATGGAAGGTATTTATTTATTTATTTATTTTTCCTTTTCCGACGCTCTACCTCATGAGTTTGACTTCATGAAAGCAATCACACGTTGCTTTTCAGTCTCCCGTAGCCGAGCAAAAAATAAAAAATAAATGGTAAACGTCTTCATCGGTCCTCTCTGCTTCGGACCGTTCATACTCGGATGACTTCTGCTCTTTGGCCGCCGCTCTCGTTAAAAAGAGTCGGCGATGATGAAGCCATCTGCCCTCGTCTCCTTTTGGCCTGGCTTCCATCCATTATGTCCACACGGCCATGTTTGACTACCAGCCTCATACAGCCTGCCACCGCACACTGCAAACACATTTTCTTTTTTTTTTTTTTTGTCTCCTACTGCGTCTTCTGTTTCAATTATTCTCCGTCCAGATTCAACTCACGCCGCCACGGGTCAGTGAGTACAAATAGGCCGACCTCTGGCCTTTTGGATATTTCACTCGGAGACAGACTTGTCGGCGTATGTGATCTGTTTCCCGAAAGTTCCCAAGACGCTTAGCCTTCGGCGGCGGTGTCAACAGATGCTTCCTTTATTTGAACGGCTAGTCAACCGTTCTTATTTTCGCGGCGTGCCTTGTGAGCGACCTCAAAAGGCGCAGCGCTTTACTCTCAACCTTCGCTCGCCATTCAACCTGCAGTGAAAAGACCCGGTGTTACAAAAAAAAAAAAAAAAAAAGGGAGATCACGAAAGGTAGCATTCAGCCTCAGCTACCTTTCCTCCATCAATGTTTCTTTTTCAGCGCGCTCGCCGCTCGGACTTTTTGTTTTCCGAGCTATGTTGTCCGTCGATGTTGCTTTTGTTCAATTTTCCATCTCGCCATAAATGTTTTTTTTTGTTTTTTTTTGTTTGTTTTTTTTTGACGCCCTTGTCTGTTTTAGTTTGGAGATGTTTCTTTTCAGCACTTTCCGTTCCGGCTTCTTTTTAAGCACTCAGCGGAATTTGATGCTTTTTCTTTCCCCCAAGAATGGTCGTCATCGATTTTTTTTCTTTCAACACTCTATCTGGTCATTTTCACCCCCCACCCCCCTCGTTTCTTTTCATTGCTGTTGTGTCCTTAAATATTTTCTATTCAGTGCTCTTCCTGGCCTCGCCATTGTCGTTTTCATCTCCTATTTTATCACCGTTTGTGTTTCACCCATTTCCGCCTCCGTCGCGCACCCGCACGACACCGCGCCGCCGACTCAACGGGTTGCAACTCGACGTATTTCCTGCACGTCGGGCCGCCGTGTGTTTTGATTTCCTCCTGACAAGTCGGGCATGTCCAATGGATATCCAGATCTCCATTGGGCCATGTCGCAAAAGGGTCGGGGCCGCTATTCCGTTAATATAGACCTGTCGTCCCCGTGCTCGCACTCTGTAATTTGCAACCCCCTCTCCGCCGTGTCTGATCGGTTGATTGTGATGCTCGGCCACAGTCGGCTGCGTGGCTGAGTGGCACGGACCGCCGTGGGGTGCCTAAAAGGAAACGCGGTGAGCAATTAGGGAAGCGTCACACGGCCGGGTTGAAGGGGGCGGGGGGGAGCGTTGCAGCAGGAATTATGGGAGATTCACCGGCAGCGGACGCGTGCTGCCGCATGCCGCGCCGCCATAAGAGCAGACGTCGGGCGCATTTCAATTAGCCCTTGCCGGGGCATCGCGGCACGCGCCGGCCTCAGCCGCCGCTCGGACTAATCTGGGCGGGCTTGCGCTTTCTTCATAAGCGAATGTTGATCCTTCTGTTACAATGTCGGAATTAAGTTGGGGTGGCATTGTCGACTTTACTGTTGCACGCAGGAAGGAAAGTGCTGTCATGCTTTGTGTTTTTTTTTCTTTTTTTTATAGCAGTGGTTCTCAAGCTGGGGTCTGGAGACGTGGCTTTTTATGAAGCGTGTCATGAATATTTAGGTTGAAATGTAAAAACAATAAATAATTCACATGGCATTTAGTGGTGCAAACGGGAATTATGTTTAATCGGATTTAGGATTATGTGAGGGGGTGTCCTTGGGGGGGAGGAAAAAAAAAACATGGACCCAAAAGGTTTGAGGACCTCTGTTTTACAGCACAGAACATACGTCCATCCATCAGTTTTCTGATCCGCTTTATCCTCACAAGGGTCGCGGGGGTGTGCTAGAGCCTATCCCAGCCGTCTTCGAGCAGTAGGCTGGGGACACCCTGAACCGGTTGCCGGCCAATCGCAGGGCACACATAGACGAACAATTATTCGCGCTCACACTCACCCCTAGGGGCAATTTAGAGTGTTCCATTAACCTGCCGTGCATGTTTCTGGAATGGGGGAAGAAACCGGAGTACCCGGAGAAAACCCACGCAGGCACGGGGGAGAACATGGGGCGGGGGGGGGGCAGTATCATAATAGCAAAAAGAAATAATAAAGCAGGGCTGCCAGTGTTGATGGGAAAAATGATGATGATGATCATCATCACTTGAATCTCGCCGATCCGCTCTCAGATCAAGAATGTTTTGTGATGCACGACTTAAAAGCCAAGAGGGTCAAACTGTTCTCAGCGGGCATCCTTCTGTCTGGTTCCAGGTGCTCCCATGGAAAAAACAACAACAACAAAAACAAATCAAAATAGCTTGAGGCGAAGAAAACTTCCCAATCTTACTTACTAGCCGGTTTCCTTCTGGATTTGAGATCCTTCTGTGCTTGTGCGAAGGCGATGCGGAAATTCCTAAAAACTTGTAATTTATGCCGGTCGAGTTCAACTTTTGCTGAACTCGCGCCGTTTCCACCGGTTAGCATCGATCATTTGCTGAGTTGGTGTTTTATTTTGTCTTTCTTCACTGCGCCGAGTGCTTTTTTTTTTCCCTCTTCGTGGCTTTGAATCAGGCCACGAGAAGTATTCTCTCTTCGGGGTGCTCATTTAGAGCCCTTTTTATTTTTAATGGTCACAGATGCTCTTAAATGTTGCTGTGGGACACGCAGAGTGTGGCGGGCACAGCGTTTGCTTATTGCACAAAAATGAGATTGTGGTCTGCTCGGGGAAGTCGGACTATTTGGAATTCAGAGACGCTTTTTTTTTTCCCCCGATTTGTTTCGTCCCTAGTTAGGATTATGAGTCATTTAGTTTCTGCAGGCTACTTATGTTTGTCCTTCAATTTCTTTTTTTTTTTTTTGCTGCTCTAAACTGTGTTTCTTATGTCAGTGGTTATTTTGACAAAGTGGTTTTGTTGACAAAGTTGATTTTTTTTTTTTTTTTTTTTTTTTGGGAAGGGCTGCGACCGTGACTGCTTTGTCAGCAAATCATTATTTTCTCGTCTCTACCCCGTCTGTTGCTTCTATAGGACACGCACTGTATAGCCGACTTGGTCACAACATTAGCCTCAAACAACTTCTCAACATACCGTCCTTTCGCCTCAGGCTCCATCTGATACAGGGCGACGTTATCAGGTTTGTAGCCAACCATCAAAGACGGTCCCGGTCCATGTCTACCTCCGGGTGGTGCCGTCAAGATCCCAAAACAAAAGAAACGGCAGCAGGAAATTCCCCCCCCCCCCCCCCCCCCGATGGCAGCGAATGCGGCGATATCCTTGTTCCATCCGATGCTATCTGCGTGGATGTTATCAGGATGTTGAGATGATGCGAGTATAGCATCCAGCGAGGACGGATCGGATTCTAATTTTGCAGACAGTCGTCAGTCAGATGCGATGCGAAGCTCTCCGGGCAAAAGTTAGTCCATCTGCGGCTTACTTAGGATGAGGCATCGACTGGAGCCTTACACCGGCTGCCTCCGAACGCGCTGGCCGAGCCCTCGGGCCACACTCATCACACTACCTGTTCATGCCGCGTGCTTTAATGAGGACAAGGGAGGGCCATGATGGAGTCAATTACAAGCCGGTGTTAGGGAGTATTGCTATTTCACCTTTCATTACACAGCCATGCCAGGGGCTAACGGGGTTCCCCGCCACTTAGTGAAAGCAAGCGCTGCTGTGAGGTTCTCGCGGGGGGGGGGAACGGCCAAGACGTGCAAGTTTTGTGTTTCTGGCAGTCCCGAAAACGGAATTTTCGATGTAACGTTGCCTGTGTTCTGTGTTTCCAGATCCGATGGACCAAGACGGCCGGCAGCGTGTCGGACCGCTTCCAGGATTCCAGCGTCTTCAACGAGACGCTGCACATCGCCAAGATCCTGAGGACGCAGGGCGGGCGCTACTACTGCAAGGCGGAGAACGGCCTCGGCTCGCCCGCCATCAAGTCCATCCGGGTGGACGTTTACTGTGAGTGAACGAAAACCTCGGTGCCGCCAGCTAGTAGCGACCTGCGGAAAAAACAAACCCCCCCCAAAAAAAGCTTTACTAGTGTGTTTGTAGCGTTCTAAAACACTCAACGGTGCAGCCAGCAGCGGTCTTTTTATAATGTTGTAACGTTTTAAGGTAAAGTTGCAAAAAATGGCGCCCTGAGATTGTTCCGTGGAACGTTCCGCGATGAGAGATGACATTGTTGATTTTTTGTGAAGTCTCAGCGAGCAGAGCGAGTCAAAGATGTTGACAGGTGTGGCAGGGGACGAATGCGAGTCAAGCCACTTTGACTCGGAAGGTTCTTAAAACTCATCTTTTGTCATCTCTGGGCAGCAGTCTGTACGTCTGTGTCTGTGCATGAAGATCAGCCTCTTATCCGCATCACATCACGACCCTTTTTTTTACCCCCTCCCTACTGCCACCTCGTACTTTCTTATTTGCAAGAGGTCACGTATCGTACTTCCTGGCCTAAACCCTTCACCTAACTCCAAATCTTTTATCCTCCCAATTTGGGTTTAGGGAATTATGTTTTAGGGTGAAGGTTATCGTCACAATAATCGAATCCTGAAATCCATCATTGGCTTTGGGGGGTAAAAAAAAAATCCTCTTCTCATTCTTCTTCCATCGGATGCCATTTTCCCAATACGAGTAAAGCCACTTTCATTGAGGGGGACGTTCCCAGCGGTCAGTTCTGTTCATCTCTGGGGGGGGGAGGAATCAAAAGAGGTCTTCCACTTCGCCTTGCTGACAGTTTGAGGTTGCTCCGGGGGACAAGTAAATACAAACCAGAAAGCTCTAATTGCGCTCCCAAGGGAGAACTTGAAGATGAACGCAACGTAAGCCATAATGGAATGAGTTGGCATGTCGGAGAGGGAATTTGCTCTCCATGCAAAGCGCAGCATGAATAAATCAAATATATATACGTGCGTGTGTATAAGTGAATGTAGATGTACGGTGTCAAGCCAAATGTGTGCTGGCGGTTGATTACTTGATTTTCGCAGACATCGTACGTCTTGAAAGGTAAATACATTTTTCGTCGTACGTCACTTCGAGTTGAACTCGGAATTGCGCGATTTTTCCGGGCGTTCAAAACAGAAAGGTACAAGCAAGAAATAGTTTGCGCACCCACACAATTGTTTTTTTTCCAAATATTTTTACCGCCACAGAAATAAGACACATTCGGGATTTTTTGGGGGGGTGAACATGTGAAGAATTTATTTAATCTTTTCCCGTTTCAAGAAGATGGTGTCTTTTATTTTGATTCATATTTGAACGCAAGGTGGACTTGCAATTTTTTTCTCGCCAATTTAATATGACGCCCTTGCATGTGGCCTTGCACGCTAGCTACTTCGCCCGAGCAATGTTGCCGTTGTCCCCTGGGGGTGACGCTAATTGGTGGGCTATTCTTAGCAGCTTTGCATGTACATTGTTTTTTGTTTTAATTCATTCACGCTAAAACTGCTGTTTTGTAGGCAGACCTCCTCAACAACAGCAATTTGATACAGGAGCATGTTTTTTTTATTTTTTTTCCATGCCGCGCAGAACATAGCTTTGGGAGTGATCATTCTGACATCGCAGACACCTGAGTGTCAGCTCACACACGTCTTTAATGACTCGCAGAACAAACTGGTCTGTTCCGGTTGTCTTGGAAGACCTTGGTTAGCATTGCATTAGCCTGTTTCAAGAAGCCAAGCTGCAAAAGACATAAAAAGTCTTATCAAATTGCCATGAGGAGCCCATATCAGGTCAGACACCCGTAAAACACGTTTTAGGTCCCAGTGGTGTCAAACTCATTTTTGTCGTGGGCCACATCATAGTTACGGTTTCCCTTGGAGGGCCGTAATGAATTTTGGGAAGCCATATCAATGTTTAATCACATCTACATATTGCATACACAGCGCACAACAAATTAATGGATAACATGTTTTAAAATCAGAAGTCAAGAATAATGACTGTTATTGTGGATTACATAAGACAATTTGAAATTTTGGTTCAAACTTTAGCAAGCATCATGGAACTTGACATGCTTGATTTGCTTTCGCGGGCCACATAAAATGACGTGGTGGGCCAGATCTGGCCCCCGGGCCTTGACTTTGACACCAGTCTTTTCGGAGGTTTTGCCGCCACCCCTTCGAATCCAGGCCCTTTGGTTTCGGAAGAATCACTTCCCAAGATTTTATTCATATATGCGGCTATTATTAGATCAAAGCCAGCTTCATAAAGGCGTGACTCACCATCACTAGAAATCAAAGGACATTTCGACGGCAAGATGGATGGCGGATGGAGGCGCGATGACACGGGAAGCCATCATTGACGCTGATAACCCAAGCCGGCGGCCCGCGGGAGCCCGATGATTACTCGACCGCCAACTCTGCGCTAACGTATTTAGTCCAACAAAGCGCATTTTCTACCTGCTGACACCTCTGTTGTTTGCGCTCCGCGGGGGGGACGGTCCGGAGCAAAGTTAATAAAACAAACTGGCCCCAACTCTTAAAACGGATCGATCCTGAGCTTATGGAGCTCCTGTTTTTATTTATTTATTTATTCCCCCTGCCAGGGGCTCATTTCGTTTGCCGTTTTCCTTTGATTTTGTCCGGCGTGCATTTTGCCGCAGCGGCTAATGTTTGGCTGATTGAAGAGGGCTTAAGAGTTGTGCGCGGGGGGGGGTAGCCGGCTCATTTCAGGCTCCGGGAGCCCATTGACCACTATAGCTCAAGGAGGTTTGCAGCGGCGAACGTGAGTTCCCGAAGGGGATCCGGTCAAAATGCAAACCTTTTTTTTTTTTTTTTTTCCAAGATGGAGCAGGGGGTGCGGGAGGTTTGGAAGTTAGTTTGACGGTGTGTTTAATCCACTTGATCTGTTTTATTGGCAGCGAGGGCGAGGGAGAAGCGAACGGACGCCGGCGAAGTGACGCCTGTCAAATTTGGCGCAATGCTGCATAATTCTGACGTCTTAGCGGGGAAACAATGCAAACGCAAAAGCGGTTTGTTTAGTCAAACAGAACTAATCCAAATGAGGAGTGACTATGCTCAGTGCACACATGCTTAACACTCGGTGTGGGAGGGGGGGGGGTCTTAACCCTTTCGGGGGACTGTGATCAGGTCACACAATGCATGAAAGGGTTAATTCCTGACGCTACATCTTCTTCTAATGCTCGTCCGGCGTCAACGACATGGCGAACTGGTGTGCATGCGCTACATTCGAGGACATTAAAATTCAGGCCCCAAAGCCGGTTTTGCTTCGCATCATGAATTTTTGTTGGCACGTCGACCATAATTGGACTCATCAAAAAGTCCCACGCTGTAAAAAATGAGCAGGAAGTAAGCAGTTCTGTTTTGCGTCAGCCACTTTTAGGTTCTTTTTGCTCGTTTCTGACGTTTGCAGGAGTCCTTCAAAGGCAAAGATGTCGTCGAGTTTGTTTTCAATTGCTACCAAACCCACAAAAAAAAAGTCTTGAGAAGCCATGCCCCAAAAGACGTAGGAAGTAGTTTTGATTTGAAGCAGCCATTTTGTCCATTTCCGCAGCTACTTAGCCAGACCTCGAGATATTATCCCATTTCTACCAAATTGGAACCTAATAAAAAAACAATTTTAATTCCGAACATGACATCTGTCAAGAATAAAACACAACCCAAAAAAAAAAAAACAACAACAAAAACACTGCAGATGTTTTTGCACGATTCCATCCTATTTTTGAAACCTTTTGGCGGGATCAAAATTTTTGACAGGCCCGCCAAGCCGCACCTTCCAAGTCTCCTGATAGATGTTGGAGAAGATGCGCGCAAAGCTTCTCTTAAGTGCTTTTGGATGTAAATGAGGGCGGCGTGATAAATGCGACGGCGCGGATGGAGTGATCCGAGCCTCGTCTGGATGCCATCCTACCGTGGATCGCAGCATTCCGCGTACATTATGGAAATGTTTGCTTAATGGAGGTAACGGCGCTTCACGACTGCCCATTAGTCCCTCAAGGACTTATCAGAGGATTGTCTCGACCTCACTTCCTCTTTTCTAATTGACTGTGTTTGTGTCCGATATGCTAATGAGATTAACGCCTGCATTTTGATTTATTTTTTATTTTTTTCCCCGCACTGGATTTTTACCCTCCATTTGTTCTACTCAGCATTTCGTTTGGCCTGGAATGACTCCAAATGACTTGCTGACTTTGATTTCTCATCCATAGTTTTAGAATTAAGCGTTGAAACAAGTTTTCTGCTTCGTTTGGGGTTTTTTTACATTGCATCTTTTAATCTGTTTGAGTTTCACGTTTTGTTCATTGTTATTATATGAATGCAATTAGTTTGTTGAATCTTTGTTTGTATCGTGCTTTGTTCACTTTTGAAGTATTTATGAGTTTAATCCTTTTCCTCATATTTTGTTTTTTAAATATTTGAGGGTTTATATTTTGTTTTTTATAATTTGGATTTTTTTCTGTTCTTTATTTTTTGTTTTGTTCATCTTTTTGCTTTTTGTTTGGTGTGGTTTTCAGTTTCATGTTTTTTTTTCTTTTTTAGTGTTTTGTGTGTAATTTGTTTTTATTCTTATGCTCTTAATTTTTTTTTTTTTTTTTTGTCCAAGTTGAATTTTGATTTTATTTTGTTCTATTTGTATTTTTTTGTCATCGTTATGACTCTTTGTTTGGTTTGTATTGATTTATATTTATTTTTCATTTGTGTTATGGTCATTGTTGTGTTTTTGTCCAAATTGAATGGCTGGCTGAATGGATGTTCTGTTTAGTCCATGGCTTAAAATTTCTACAGAATCCTGTTTTTTTTTTTCCCACTCTCAATACACAACAGTCCCTTTTTTTTGACCATCCACCCTTTTTCTTGGGGGCTTTTCCTGGAAGTGACTTCCTTCTGGCCTCAGTTGAGATTGGCTCCGGTTTCCTCCTCGCCTTTGCCTAATGAATAATTACAAGCTAGTCACGCGCGCTTGCGCTAGAGCGCATCGTAACTTCGTTCGTAGCAAAGCGGCGATACGCATTCATGCAGTTACGAGCCACTAAGTCTGCACCAATTAAAAGCGCATTAAAGGCTTCCCGCCTTTTTGTTGGTCAACATAATCTATTTGATGATGCACGCTAATGGAATAAAAGCACATTTATCGGCCGATCGCGATGCCCACTGTTGATGCGCATGCTGTTTGGGGAAAGTGGAGGAAGCGCTGCTTTTGGTTGTGGAATACTGCATTTCCGTAAATAATTGGCTGCGGGCGTTAATGTAGTCGATTGAAGCAGGAATTTATGTCAATGAGGTGTCTGGCTTGATAAAGTTTATGTTGACTGAGATGTGAACTGTGTTCTAATGGCTATTCTGGTTTGCATGGCTGCGAGACCACGCCGACGTCTTATTTCGTTGTTGATCGCACATTTTATGAAGTCATTCTTTGGAGCCTAATCTGTGAGTTATCATGTGATGCAGCTAGTTTTGCACCAGCTGCATGGTCGTAAGATTGTCACAATGTCTATTTTTTGGTTTGTAGTCAATTTGACTAAATTAGTCATTGCGTTTGCAGTTTAAGATGCGAGTTGTTTTCTTACAGCTCTAATGAGGTTTGCACTTGCTGCACAGGCATGAGACCCTGATGGTGTTTTTTTTTTGTCAGTTTTATTGATTCACTGTAATATGCAAAGCCTATCCATTCAACCACCCCCCCCCCAGCCCGCCACACCCCTCAACAGCCAGCTATGTGAACCGCTGCAGTACCAATCACCACGACCGCTAGTCAAGACAGTCCATGCGAACGCAAATGCGCATTTGCCAGCGACTTGCCACTTAATTCTGTTGACGCGGCTCCGTTTCTGTGCGGCCGCCATATTTGGGGATCCGACCGAGTCAGCGCTACCCCCCACCACTCCTCACCCCCTCCCTGCCCGAGGAGAGCCACATTGCCCAAGATATCTCGCTCACGCAGGTGGCGGCATCATCATCATCAGAGCGGGGCCTATCGTTCACGCCGACTGTTACAAAAGCACATCCATCCGCGGATAGACGTGGCGAGCGGGAGGAGCGGGTTATTGCGGAGATAGAGGTCAGTGCTGGCGAGATGGAAAATTACCTGCTTGGATTCATGTGTTCCATCAGCACGCCGGGTGGAAGTTATAGATCACTAATAGTGCTTATTAGCCTCTTGACCAGCATGGTGGTAATGCATTCGAGTGTGCGCGCGCTCAAACACACACACAAAGCTGTCCGCCGTATCACATTTAAGATTGCGGCCGTATGATTTCTCGACGCGTGACGCGCCAGTCGCTCCATTGCCGTTTGTCATCTTTAGCCGGTCTGTGCCGTGCATGAGCGTGTGTCATTTAGTCTAGACTGGCGTCGCATTCATGAAAGAGTAGCCGAGTGGACCATTGAGCAGAGTGCACTCTTGCGTTCTCTTCCTATTTACAGTATCTGCGGGGGTGGGGGGGAAAGTGTTTTTCTTGCGAGCGGTGCCAAAGACTCGAGTCGTTCGCTTGTGTTATTGGATCAGCAAATGCATGAAACCTTGAAAAGGACTATGAATGGAAACGATTTGAATGATATTCGGCGACGTAACTCGATGAGAAAACTGCGGCAGAGAACGCCGCAACTCCCCGAATTCGATTCAGCTTTGCACTTGCCGTCACACGGTGAGACTATGACGTGTCGATTTTGTCTGTCGTGTGTTTGACGAGTAAGACGTCACGCTTTTGACCGATATTGTGTCGTGCATAGTTCTTGTGACGTATCGCGGTTTTTCCGCAATTCATCGACGATCGCCGTATCTTGATATTAATCCCCTGGCACGGAACGCTCAAGATTGACGGCGTCGTCCGATTTGCGTTTTCTATTCTGATTCATCTCAGCGGATCAGACGAGCAAAAAAGAAAAACATCAAAGTAAGGAAAAAAGGGGGAGAAATACTGCGCTAGAAGAACACCCAAGAGGCGACAAAGGGAGAAGAAGAAGAAGAAGAAAAAGGTCTGCTGTCGGCGTGGTGCTGGCGTACATGAAAGGAAGTTTTGATGTGATAATGAAGCACCTTTCTTGAGTCCTTCATCCCAACCTGTCTGCCTATTTGTCCGACAAATGTTTTCGTAAGGCCCGCAAAAAAAAAAAAAAAGAAAAATCTACTCCTCCGGAATGAAAGGCTTTTTTTTTTCTTCAAAAGGTACGTGACTACCATTAAAAGCAACATTTTCACATCTTCTGGATTTCAGGCCATCCGGGCGTGACTACAGGAGCTAATTGCACTCATGCGGCGGCGTCCTTCCATAGCGGTACACGGGGGTGGAATATTATTTGGAACTCATCAACTTTTTTTCATCGCGCCGCAAATATTTCCATATTTCAAGATGGAAGCCATCCACTTCATCTTCGGCCCTGATTACTTTGCTCCGGAGCCAACTGATAACCATCTATGGGCATGTCAAAGCAACGGGCGGTGTCCGTCTGATCTAACAAATAGTCGGATACAAATTTTACAAGTGGAGTTCCTCAAGGAAATGTCTGAAGTCCTTTCTTTTTTTTTTTCCTTTCTGGAAATGTATTGGTAATGATCACAGGATAACAGACTATGATATTGCATAGCTCTAAGCGGACCTGTGTGTGTGTGTGTGTGCGTGTGTGTGTGTTGCAAACGGACTACAGGAAACAGAAGACAAGGCAGGCAGGCCAAGTTGTCTGTAATGAATGGTTGTATTTACTTTAAAAGCTACTGAGAACACCCCCCTCCCCACCCTCCGCGATCTCCCCCATCACCTCCCTCCCCCCCCGTCAAAGGTAATTGCTCTTACCTGAGATGCCGTAATGGATCCTGGATGAAGTATTGACCAGTGCTAGATTTTGATTAAGGGGCTGCAAGGGGCAGAACACGTCTTTAATGAAACGCAAGGAATCAGCATTCCTTGGCAGAGGCATATGTTCATCCTCTCCCTTGTGTTGCCTCCCCCACCGGTGACATCAAAAAATAGAGTTCAAAAAGCGAAGCGAGATGACCCGGTAGATGGGTTCTTTGAAACGGCGCCGATTAGCATGTTAAAGGACTCTAGGCCGCCGCCTGGTTAAGGTGATTACCTTTTCAATCCATTCAATCAGCCGAGAGTGCCTTTTCCCTCAAATGGCTGACCATTCTGTGTCAGCACAGCAAACGGCGAAAAAGCCAGCGAATTGATGAGTGGACGAGGACTCAAGTCGAGCCGTCTCACGCCGTCCACATTTCGATTGGGACTTCAACGGGAACAGAAACTATTGCTTTGAACATGGGAAAAGCGGGTCTTTGGTGTTAAAACTTGAAACCCTGACAACGGCATTCCCGAAGCCAGCAAATTTGCGTGTCGACCCCCCGCTTACTCCGTCTCAGACTCACACAGAACGGCAACAATTGCATTTTCAGCAGGCCGAGAGCAGCGAGTACTGTGAAATTCCCGTCGAGGCGGGCAATTCACCAATTGAATACCTGTTCCGTCTCACCTTTTGTGCTATTAGCATGACAGGCTCGGGGAAGTCATATTTCACACCCCGATCCCTAATAAGTCTGGAACTGGCAAATTCACGGGTCAACTTCGTAAGGAAGGAAAATGACAGTCTTCCGCGGGCAGTGCGACAGGCGCTTGAGTGCGTCCTGAAGGTCAAGTCTAATCGGAACAGGTGCCACGTGTAGCATCGACTGAGGGCTTCCCAATCCAGCAGGCGCAGGAACCCGGTAACCGAAGCTTGTTCCACCCTGTTGATCCTCTGCTCCATATTTTTGTTTCCAGATCTCGATGAGCCGGTGGTGACGGTGCACCAGAGCATTGGGGAGGCGAAGGAGCAGTTCTACTACGAGCGGACGGTTTTCCTACGCTGCGTGGCCGTCTCCAACCCGCCGGTTCGCTACAGCTGGCACCGCGGCCGCGAAGTGCTGACCCAGGGCTCGGACAAGGGCGTGGAGATCTACGAGCCCTTTTTCACGCAGGTAAGACAGACGCGGCGCGGTGCGGACAAGTCAGAGTTGTAAAAAATGTTCTCAGCTGTTATCAGGTTACAAGTTGCATGAAAAGGTTGAAATATTTTTACATTTCCTGAAAAAAAGAATAGTTTTGGAGGTGTGAGGATCCTGCCTAGCAGTCGTGACGATATGCTAATCGCCGAATTTAGCATGCGGAATGTGATTAATTAAACCGGAGATGAATTCCGGTGGCTGATTTTATATCTGAAAGGCGGGTTGGAGCCGCACTGCTGTGCGTAACCGGGCCGAGGAGGTGCAGGCAGAACGAGAGGTGACGGGGGTGGGATGGGGAGGTTTTTTTTGGGGGGCGGGGGGGGACTGGCCTTTTCCACCCTCCTGTAAACATGTTTGAAATGCCACCAAGGAAAATGATCGCGACAGATCGCGTATTCAGCAATGCCATTTTGGAGGCTCTGAATGAGCCAACACTCAGGAGGGCTTAAATCAAACAAAACACGGCTTTTATGTGCTTTCTGGCCGCCCTCGGAAATTCTTCTCATTTCATTTTTTTCCTCCAATCCCAAGGCAAAAATCGGCCGTCTAGGCTATTGTATGTCAAGGCTCCACTCTCCAACTACTGTGCGCCCGCCCCCAATAACTACTGCTGCTGCTTTTACTGCTGCCACTAATAATAATTAAAGCCAAATCTGTTTTCCTTGGCTCAAAAGCATGCGTGTGCTCAGAAAGAGCGGCGGCCATGTTGCGCCCGACTCTTGTTTTTAATCCACGCTCACCCCCCTCACTCTCAAAGCAATGGAGTCAGCTAGATCAAAGGTTCACATCCTCATCACAGGCGTCCGGGCCGCGTAGGGGGTGAGGGGGGAGGGCGGAGGATAATGGCTGACAAGCCCAGCATGCTGCTTCAAGGGAGAGGAACCCCTGCAGAGTCCATCAGCGTTGCTGGAAAATGGTGGCGGGGCTCATTGTTGACTCAAGAGTCATCTCCACGTCTGGATAATGCCACGTGACGCCATCCTACGCCGCAGTACATTCATATGATTATTCCCCGTCCTCCCCCGTGTAAATAATACCCCCCGTCGCGACCGTCTGCTTTGGTGTCCCGGCACACGTTTGCATACCGCTGTCGCGGTTGTGGTCCGAGCTGCAGGGAGAAACGAAGATCTTGAAGCTGAAGAACCTGCGGCCGCAAGACTACGCCAACTACAGCTGCGTGGCCTCCGTCAGGAACGTGTGCGGCATTCCCGACCGCAGCGTCATCTTCCGGCTCACCAACAAGACAGGTACCGCCCTCGTCTGAGCCTGCCGCCATTTCGTCTGACGTACGAATTCGGCAATTGGCAGCCGAATGTAACGTACGGAGCCCGATCACATTGCGATGTGCTTGCTATCTTGACAGCCTCGCCGTCCATCAAACTGCTGGTGGAGGACCCCATCGTGGTGAACCCCGGCCAGACGGTGTCGCTGGTGTGCATCACCACCGGCGGGGAGCCGTCGCCGCTCCTCACGTGGCTCAGCGCCAACGACAGCCTCCCACAGAAGAGCATGGTGAAGGGCGGCACGCTCACGCTGCCGGCCATCAGCTCGGACGAGGCCGGCGTCTACAGTTGCGTGGCCAGCAACAACGTGGGCAACCCGGCCAAGAAGTCCACCACCATAATTGTCCGAGGTGAGTGGAAACTTTTTTTATTTTTTGTTTTAATTCACCCCTCAGAGCCAGTTGCACTTTGAAACTCCAAATTGGGTATGCATGTCAAAATGAGTAGACCCACAAAAAAAAAAAAAAAAATGCTACCTGGCAGAAAGTTCTCGCCAGATTAATGCCAATCTCCGTTCTTCTGTCTAATACACGTCATGCACATATTTGGTTGCAATTGGACAAACTTCTCTCGGAAAAGTTTGTCTTTGAAGGACATGTGCAAGTGACCACAAAAAAAAAAGACTTTGTTTTTTTTTTCAAGCACTGGTTTCCTGTGGGTGTACTTCATGACAGATTTAATTTTGCTAAATCACGCCGGTTTGCAGAGGGCTGAATTTTCTGCCATTAAACTTCGCCGTTCTCACACCCACACCAAATTGAAGATCTTTCGCAAAAGCAATGCCATCCGCCATCTGTTGAGAATTGACGTCAAAGTTTTGGGAGCAATTGAACAAAATCTCTCGGGCAAGTTTTTGAAGGACCGTTGGGAGTTGGCCACATGATGAAAAAATATTGACTTCATTTCTTGGATCTCTCCCCCACAAAGAACATCTGTAAGATGATTGTGCGTTCGGCTCCTATTTTGGTCGTTTCACCAAGACCGGCGTCTTAAGAGAGTCCCTCAGAACCATCAAGCCGAGCATTAATTATTGAAATCCCCCCACAAAAACAACAACACTCTGGGAAACCCTCTTTGCATTCGCCCGCTTTCCCCAAATCCAACTTGAGCAGATTGGCTGACTTTCATGTTCCTGAACTTGTGCTTCTCCCCCCCCCCCCCCCCCCTTGCCGAGAACGCCGCTTTCATCTACGAGATTACTTCGCGGGGTCGCCTCGGTGCTAAACTAAGCCCGCGTGCGGAAAGGCGTTTTATTTATGCAGCTGTAAAGTCTCTGGCATGAAAATCAAATCATCCACCAATCACATCTGGTCGCCCCCCCATTCCCTTCTCCGCACACCCCCCCCCCTTCTGACAGATAACCCCTCCACTGTATTGTGCCGCTCGCCATATCACTGACGACTTTGGAGGCCGCCGGCTTATTTGTATTAGACAGAAGATGTCGGGTGTCACCGCCGGCGATGGCTGCAGTAAATATTCCGTTCTTATTGATGTGCCGTTGCACACGGTTGAACTCGCAGACGGTCTTCGGCTTTTCTTCAGCCGTTCCTTCTTAAATGTGAGCACTCGGCGGGCCGCTATATGACGCAAGGTGGAACGATTCGGCTAGATATGAGATACTCACATCTTTCTTGTTCCACTCCCAGTACATATTATTAGATAGTATTTTTATGCTTCTATGTTGTCCAACTTGTAATTTGAGCCACACAAGCCCGTGTTTACGTGAGGCTTTATCTAAAAAACAAGAATAGCCATTTGCGAGTGCATCTTAATGGCTATTTAACCTTTCCGACGATTGGACGTCTTGTGTTTCATTCGGCCGCGGCGGCGCGGCGCGTTTCGAGGGGCGAGGCGCTTAGTCTTGGCTTCATTTTCCGTAAGATTTAGTTTCCCTGCTAATACGCACGGGCGGTGACAAATGGCGGCACGGAGGCGCGTGTGCAAGCGCGCCAGCACACACACACACGCGCGTACGCAAACAAACAGCGATATCTGGGGAGTGGACGTTCTCAAGTAAAATTGCTTTGCAAAGAAACACGAGCTCTAAATTACATTCTGACAGTAACGCATCTTCAGTGATAAATTGCGAGACCTCAGTTTAGTGGGTGTCAAAAGATTACGTTGTTTTTTTTTTTCCCCCTCTCGCAGTCCGAAAGAGGCGAAGGAAAGGAGAAAAAAAAAAAAGCGCAGGTCTGAGCTGAAGTGAAGACAGCAAAAAGCGGGTTGAAGCGATTGGAGGAAAGATGTAAGGAAGCGTGACTAAAAAGAGCTTTAGAGGGAAAAGTAAGGAAGTTAGGATAGAAAGAAATATGGGAGCAACAAAGTCCAGGATGTCACAAGATGGGCTGCCTGTCATTGAACGAGACCAAACGTCCACCAAACGTGGCCAAATGAATAGCGGCAAATAACTACTTTTGTCCACCTCGTCATGGGACTTTTCTACGGTTTGGATCCGCCACGGCGGTGGTTCACTTCTCGAGATGTGGCTTCACGCACGCGTTTTTCCCGTGCGTGGAGGGGAGAAACGCAACATCAAAGCCAGCAAATCGAAGCACAGCAGATCATAGCATCATAGCATTGCATTCTGATCAGCACCGCTTAATTGACTGCCCCGCAGAGTGGATGTCTTGGTGGCGGCGTTGTTGTGTTTTGTGTCATATATCCATTTCCTCTACAGAAGACGCTCGCTCGCCTGTTCAAATACAAGCCGTTTTTTTTTTCCCCCTCGTATAGCAAAATCACTACTTTTTATCATTCATAAAGTCAAAGAAATTCCTCAAAAGGACGCAGTCAGTAAGCGGGAGCGGACGCCAGCAGCCTTGCTGGGAAGGCCGAGGCCCTGGAAGGCTGTGTGGCTGGTGGGACAGTATGGCCGGGAATGCGACCATCTGCTTGTGTGGGCGTGCCTGTGTGTGCGTGTGTGTGTGTGCTGTGTGTGTGTCTAGGGCTTCTCAAGGACGGGTGGGTGGGCATAACATGCCGAAAGGCTGCAGGGGCGACGCCGTATGCTAAGTAAGCACCCCAAAATAAAAAAATAAACAAACAAATGGCTGCCGATGTGACAGAGCTCAATGATGCTCTTTGACACATCCAAAAACACACACACACACACACACACACACACACACACACACACACACACACACACACACACACACACTTTTCCTCTCTACTATGTTGTTTGCAAACAAGTTGTCCGGCCGTGATGCCCAGCACCGGCCGGAAATTAACATCTTGTCCCCAAAAAAATCCCAAATGGCCAACCCCGCCCCTGTGTAACGCGCAGACGTGGGAGCCAACCCTGCTTTGCAGTGGACACATGGTAGTTTATTTTTAAGCGCGGCATGAGTTTGGATATCCTTTTTCCTCCCGGCCCAATTTATTATTTTTTTTCTGGCGTAATCGCCGCCGAGATTTCCATTCATGAATGCGGACCCCTTTGACACAAACGGTGCGCCTGAAGCTTGAAAGCCACAATTCCGACTTTCATGCCTCCGTTCGCGGCCTTGGCTTTTCCCGAAGCGTTAGCGTGCATGCAGAGGGCGATCGTGGCAGAGATGAAAGGCGGGCGCACCTGGCCGATGCCCGTCGACCCAGTTACAAGTTTAACCTTGAGGAAGGAGGTGAGAGCAACGTCCATCTGGCCCGCGAAGAGGCCGGTCCTGTCTGGCATGCTGATATTTTTTTTTTCCGCCGGAAGAGCTACGGGGCTGCCGGCTGTGAAGACGAACGGACGGCAAAGAGTGAGAAAAAGAGTCGCGGGGGGGGGGAATAATGATTCATCCTTTTCACACAAAAGCCAGCGGAATTCATTAGAGCCAGTGGAGGGAAAAGCACATTGGAACGTCCTCTCTCATTTGCATGTGGCCACATCAGCCATGCTGTTGTGTTCACTTTTTTTTTCTTACCGCTTATTGCAAATTATTTTTAACGGAATGTAAGTAAACACTGACATAAAAAATTGCGTGACCCATTCAAGAAAACTAGCACAAAATAAGACAATTAATTGTTGATGTTATGATGATGTGGCTCAATTAAGCTTTCATTGTTGTGTGACATGAGTTGAGTTTTTCCGATTTCTATTTATAAGGTGTAGTTTTGATTTTGTGATAAGGGGAGCAAAAAATCGGAATCAAGACATTTTGATTATGAGGCGTGGCCACGGACGCCTGCCAGCCAATCAAAGACGACCTGTGGGCGCCTACTTAAGCACCCCTCCTACCATCATCACGATGTTCTTCACTGCATCAGCTCTCACTTCGGGACCAACATGACAAGGCGATGCTAGGAAGACGGTTCGTGTGTGTGTGTGTGTCTGTGTGTGTGTGTGTTGTGTGTGTGTGTATGTGTGTGCGCGAGACAAGACACTCCCCCGTGGTGCTGTTGTGTTGCACCTGTGTGACATGAGTTGCCGAAGCCTTTCTGTGTAATCATTTGACACTCCCCATTACTTCCACAAGCAAGCACGCAAGCTCACTGCGAAGCGTATCGGCGACAGAAGCGGGATCTCAAAATAGACTCGGTATGACTCATCGCGACAATTAGCGTTCCAGTGGATTTTGACACGAGGTTGCCCCGCAATGTTGTGCCTCGTGTGTTCTTTATGCTGCACAGAAGCATACTCGGCGACAGAATTCGGATCCGGTACGTTCAATGGTGAAGTTGGCGTCTTTAATGGCGATTCATTTAATTGGATTCTCATATGTGGTCGCCCCGCGATGTTGTGTCCTGTGCGTGCGCTTCCTATTGTGTTCTTTGCCCTTTATAGGGCACAGAGTCATGTTTGGTGTCAGAAGCGGGATCTCATTTTTCTCACCGTGACGTTGGCGTCAAGCTAATTTCTGTAAAGTGACAACATGGGCGATCGTAGAGTTGTCGACGATGTTTGCTTGCCTTCTTGCGGTGATGTTCTTTGCGCCTCGCGGTGTGTGGAAGCGGGATCCAGTTATGTGTCACCAGCTGGCATCTTCGAGCATGACTATGTGTTGCAGTTGGAGCCGACAAACAGTCGTCCCACAATGTTGCCTTTGAACTCTGTAAGGCATGGGAGCATATTTATAGTGAGATCCAGTTTCTGTGACATGGAAGCATATTTGGTGTCAGAAATGGGATTTCAAAAAAGATAGATTGACGCGATTTATTTGACGCCTAATCCTCGAAAGCTCGCGTGGGCAAACTGTACAGTTTTCATTGAAAGAAATACTAATTATGTTGTTGTTTTTTGTTTTTTTTTCATTAAACACAAAATCTAGCTCTATGTTTACTTTGTACTTAATCCTCACTGTCTGAAGTTTCAATTTAAGTTTAGCAAGGTCTGTAAGGTTAGTCGAGTTTGTTCTGTGTGTGCGCATTGAGCAAAATACACCGGTGAAAAATTCGTGATGTTGTGGAAAATTGTCCTACAATTGTCAGAGTCGCAGGTTTATCTCTGCAGCAAATGGGAAAGTTCTGTTTTCCGACCGAGTCCTCATTAAAAATTCATGCAACTTTTTTTTTTTGGCCAGGAATCGGTTATCAGAAAAGGGCGGTGGGCCCAAAGACGAAACACCGACGCCCGATAAAGTCTACCATGCGAGCACTCGTCACCTGGATGTGTTTTATTTTCACGTACGCTGAGCTGAGCTGAGCGGTCCGGCAAAATGTGTAGCCGTGCCAACCTATCTCGCTCGTACACGCATGTTGTCAATTTGCAGGAATGCCTCCTCGCTATCCAATATTTATGCTTTGATAAAATGGTTGGAAAAGGAGATTTGAATGAAGGGGATGTGGGGGGAGCAAGATGTGAGTCAAATTTGTATAAAACATCTGCATGGAGTCGCCTCTGAGCCAGGGAACTAGTTTGCTGCCTAAACGGGCTGGGGAAGGAATGGGAGCCTGAAGATTGATGGATATTAATTAGATAAGAGTTTTGCCAGTTTTAAAGCATCTTTATTGAAATCGAATCAGTTTTCATTTTAAAACCAATTTTCATCAAGGTTAAAAATGTTTTTTGTTTTTTTTCCCCGTAGCATTGAAAAAGGGCCGCTTCTGGATCACTCCCGACCCGTACCACAATGACGACAACATCCAGATTGGTCGGGAAGTCAAGATATCGTGTCAGGTAATATAGAAAAAAAATAAAATAACGTTTTTGAACTGAGAAAAAAAAAAATTGTGATTCAAGCTTTCATGTGTTTGGTAGGTGGAGGCCACGCCCCCCGAGGAGCTCACCTTCAGCTGGTTGAAGAACGGCCGCGCCCTGCGCAGCTCGGAGCGCATGGTCATCACGCAGACGGATACGGACATCTCGCCCGGCACCACCAACCTGGACATCATCGACCTCAAGTTCACCGACTTCGGCACGTACACGTGCGTGGCGGCGTTGAAGGGCGGCGGCATTCCCGAGATCAGCATCGACGTCAACATCTCCTCCACTACTGGTGAGCCTCAGATGCCGCCGTGAACCCCCCCCCCCCCTCCCCGTGTTTCCAAACTCACTCACTCATCAATCGCAAGCAATCGACTCCCATTGTGCTGCTCCGACTGGTATGTGTGTGTGTGCCTTGGCCACCAGGAGGCAGCGTAATACATACTGCTGTCTGACAAACTTTGTGCTCGTGTCAATGACGATGCGTTAATCCACTTTGTGTCACGACATCCCGACGCCATCTCCCTCCATCGGGACGACTTTATTCCGAACAAAAAAGTTGTTTGAAGGGAGGCTGTGGGAAAACCAAATAATCAGCTGTCAACTGTCTTGATTGTCTTTTGTGTTCGTTCTTAGCATCAGTCAATCACATCTCAAAGGGAGTTGAATGGAACAAAACACTGAGCCAGTTCGCTTGCCTCCCGCAAGCTTTGTGCTGTTGTTGAAAATAGCATCGTTAGCATTAGCACTTGTAAGGGGACATTTGCGCAGAGTATATTCAATTCGAGCTGCTTTGATGCCTAAACGGGCTGCGGAAGGACTCGAAGCAGGCAGTTTGGCACAAGCACTACTTAAAGGGAGGATGGGGATTTGTGTCGAGTCTTGAACTCCGTCAAAGAGGTTATGTCGTCTTTAGCAAGATGATGTACAGAGAGTAACCTCGGGCCCGGAAACTTTGCTGAAGGCTAAGTAGGGTTAGCCTTCACATTTGTATGACAAGGACGGAATCTGTTTGACATTTTTCTTCATTTTTTTTGCCATGAATAATGAAACGACAACACGGTTCATACCAAATGAATTCAGTTCAAGTGGCTTTGCTGGAGGAATTAAAAAAAAAGGACTTAAAAGTTCAAGTTGCGCGAAAGCTTCATGGAGAAATTATGGAGATTCGTCGAGGCCCATTTTGAATGCTGAAAGCCTCCGACATCCTTCGCTTCTGCCTTCTCGAGCAAGATCATGCTCGAAACCGGCCACACCAAATTTGGTGGAAGGCTAAGTGGGGTTAACATTCGCATTCGCTTGGCAAGAAAGGATATTTATCCTAATTTTTTTAAATGAATAATGCAAAGCGGGCTGCCTGAAGGGGCTGCGAAAGGAATCAAAACGAGGAGCTGAGAAGACCTTGTCTTGGCTACATAAAAACAGGATGAAGTTTAGGCCACGTCATGGTCATTCATGTTTTCTATTAAAACCCACAAAAAAATTATCGTACGTTTTACAAAGTATATCGCCTGTTTTCACGGGGGTGGATCTGTCTCATGGTAATTATGCTCCCCGTAAGAACCAAGTCCTATGAATGACAAAATACAGTTTTGTGCTATTTGGGATCGTTCAGCCTTGGCGGAGGTCTGGTTTTTGCATTCATGTGCCATTAGCCTTTTTTTTCTTTTTTTATCTTTTGTTTTTTTTTTTACGTTTGACAAACACAATGCTGCATCCCGGGCGCACCTCACCGCCAACATGAAAGCGGCACGTCGACCTTGGCGGGCATAATTATTCTTAGATAATCCTTTGATAATCCCCGTGCTCCAAAACTGCGAGATCAATTGTACCTGCCAAGAAGAAGAAGGAAAAAGAAGTTTGCTCATTATCTTTTAAGTAGTGCAGTCTGTGGGCTGCAAATAATGACTCGAGTGTGTTGTCGTCGAGCCGAGTGAAGGGCTTAGATCACGTTGTGCGTGGAGACTGAGCGAAGGGATGTGAGCATTCCAACAGAAGCAGATTTGGGGTCTCATCATGGCGACATGCTGGAAACACATTTTCCTGCACAATATTTGAGATGATTATGTTATATGGTGATGGCGTCTTTAACTGGAATTTGATTTTTTTTTTTTCTGTATATCTGTCGTGGTGGAGAAAGAGCTGAGCCGATGAGGTGGCTCTGGCATCTGGTTACGATGCCATCCGGATGCCTCCTTGGTGAGGTGTTTTCGGGCATGTCCCATCGGCAAGAGGCCCCAGGGATGACCTGGGATGTGCTGGAGAGACTACGTCTCTCGGCTGGCCTGGGAACGCTTTGTGATTTCCCTTGGAAGAGCTGCATGAAGTGGCTGGGGAAAGGGAAGTCTGGGCTTCCCTGCAAAAATTGTTTTCCCCCGTGACCCGACCCCTGATAATCGAATCAGATAATGGATGAATAATAATGATGCTAATAATATGAGTGTTCGTGTGAAACAAAAATTCTTGGCCACCACCTGTCAGGTGCCACATTTTTTTTTTCTCCCGCTGCAGGAAAGCCCAAGCCGCAATTAGGCTTCTTAATAAAAGCATTCAAAGAAGATTACGCTGCAGGTCTGTGTGAGATCAGGGAAAAAAAAACAAACAAAAAAAACAACAAAAAAAATAAAAGAGCTTACACAGTTTCTCGCCGCTCCGGCTTATATATTCCAAAAGTTTTTTTTTTTTGATGCAGGCAGATTGCTTTCATGACTTTCTCTCGCTAATATTTGCAAGCGTGACACACTCATTAAAAGCCCCCCCACCCCCCACCAAACTCCTCGCCGACTGCCAGCTAATGCTTATTTATAAGCAGGAACGAGGACACGGACCTCCCTGCTGGATGCTGTCAGGATTAAAAGACAGAGGGACAGCTGAAAAGGACTTAAAAGCTCCAGTGTTTAAAAAAATAAATCAACTTTTCACTGGAAGCAGCCAATTAATCCTCTCATTAGCTCTTGTGTATGGATTATTGTTCAACGACTCACCATTTTATGAAATATTGTTTGTCTCTGAGCGGGACACAGATCGGAGATCAAAAGCCGTAATGGGTGTGTCAAGTTGTTACAGGCAGATCCTTGACATTTTAACACGCAATCAAAACTCCGGATTCCAACCGGGCTGGAGAAGGATATTCCCATTCATTACACTTCCGACAGGAAGAATGCAGCAACGGTGATTAGCCGGGTCTGTTCATTAAAATTAGCATAGCAGATTTGCAGCCGTCGTCAGTCTGATGGATGATCGCAAAGTTAAGTCGGAGGACTCCAAAGTCACCTCTGCCGAAAAACTTTGCCTGGCGAAGTCGAGCCATTAGCATCCCGCGCACACCCGATGCACTGGCACCACCCAGTCTGGATGTCAATCACGGGAATGGCATGTGATGAATTGAGAAAATCAATTAAGTGCGCAAGTTCATTAATGAATGAGCTGCTGGCGTTAATGAACGCAACAAGGAACAGATTCTCAATTGATACGAACGACGGCATCGATATGCTCCTGTTTCTCCTCGAGATCGAGTAGGGCCATCTACTTTGCCGCCTCAACGGGTTGCCGTAGCAAGTAAAATAAAGAAAAGCTATCGCGTTAATACTTCCAGATACTTTGTCGCTGCAACTTTGGTACCACTCCAATGGCTCTGGTGAACAAACCGAAGTTGCCTCCCCAGGGTGGGACGAAGGTGCCGAGCATCTGTCCCGCAGCTGGCTGCCCCCCAGCCCTGGGAAAACTTGCCACGTGATAGCAGACGCGAGATGCCGCATGTCGAACACGCGTGTGACAACCTGGCAGCTTTGTTTCTCGCCCAGAGAGTCGTTTTCGCGCCGCAACCACCTGCAGTTGTACGTTACGAAGGCGGAGGCGGCTGTACGCGGGCTCTTCTGGGAAATCACCCGCCTCTCCTGCTGGGGGAAAGCTGACAGGAAAACATGAATAAGAAACAGGCTTCCTTCCCTCGTTAACCGCCGTCAATAGCCCCTCAGCAACGCGGCTCACCTTCCGGATGAAACGTTCGCGTGGAAAAAAACAACAACAACAAAGGAAGTGAGACGGTGCGTTCAAGCTTGACGGCTGCGTTTTTATAACCTAAAAATGTCCCGTCATTCATCAACTGGAATAAATGTGGTATCTAGTTTGCCGCCTAAGCGGGCTGCTGTAGCAGAAGTTAATGCATCATCGACTGTAACTTTGCTTCCTGGTGAGCGATGAACTGAATGATGACACGGCAGCCGAAATAAACACAAGATAGCGCCTTGGTACTTGCATACAGCGACAATTTGGCACTCGGTGTACACGTCTAACGTTGACATGGCTATCCTTAGCAACAATAAATTAAACAACTACTGTCCAATGCTGCCTAAACAGGCTGCTGAAGCACGTGAAATGAAGGCAAATCAATATATGCCGCAACTTTGGTAACGTTGTGAGCAGGGAACTGACTGAAGGTTGACATGATTGTATTTTTCTCAACATGAATGAACAAGGGCAACTACTGTCATTTTCTGCCTAAACGGGCTGCAGTAGCACATAAAATAAACTTAAGTGGGCACTCATATGTGTGTATGACTGCAGTGTTGCTTCCATGCAAGTATAGGACTGAAGATGTTGAAACGGCTGGAATTCGAAGGTGACTTGCTGGCTGCCTAGATGGGATGGTGTATTATGACATCAACATAAGATACAGTATCAATGTGTGTATAGCTGTCAGTTTGGGATCTTGTGAGCAGGGGGCTGACAATGTTGGCCTGCCTGTAATTCTCAATGAGTATTAACAAGGCAACTCGTTGGCTGCCTAGATGGCTGGTGGAGTGTGTGAGCTATGGCATCAGTATGTCTGTATCGCTGTCACTTTGGTACCTTGTGACCAGGGAGCTGACAATGTTGCTTGTCTTTCTCCATAACAAACGAGGGCGGCTGGCTTGCCGCCTCATCGGGCTGATGGAGGACATGAAATGAACACAAGCAAGCGCCTTGATACACGCGTATAATGACAACAATGATGGTACCTTGTGAGCACAACGATGTCACGCCTCTTCTCAAGAAGCGACGGCACGGCCGCCTAAACAGGCTGCAGTATGCGAAATAAACCCGCGTGCCTTCTCTTCCCATGCTCTCACATGCAGTGTGGCGAGCAGAGAACGAGAGCGCAATGTTGCCATGGAGACAAGAAGTGATGTCACGGACCAAATAAACTCAGCGACAGATTGACGGTGTCTGTGTCGAGCTCTAAATGGTTCTGATCACTTTGCGCAGACCCGTTGAGTTAATCACTCGCCAAGCCCACACACACACACATTGTTTCCAGGCTATACAATGCAGACTCGTTGGAAATGTGCTGCCGGAGTTTGCCATAATTGGCCGGTTAATCTGTACTGAGAGGCCTGGCGGAATGATGTGCCACCCGTCTGGGCTCTTGCCACTAATAGCCGCAACGGGTATCCATTGTAGTCACCGCTGTCCCTGAAAGGGTTAAAATAGCTTGATCGAGAGCCTGTATTTGCTTGGAGTTGGTCTGGAATGTTCGATTTGACTCTATTTTGGATCATTGGATACATTAAAAATTAAAATAAAATACAACTGCAAATATTGCTGAAAAATCTGATTTAAAAAATTTTCCATTCACTTGGCTGTTTTTTTAAAACGAGAAAAAAAAATCCATTTCACCTCCTGGTGTTCACAAATATGCCTGTTTATTTTTGGTGAACAAATATGCGGGCAGAGGCATATATTTATTTGCATCCTGCATTTTCCCGGGTTTGTTTTGGGTCTTGGAAATGGAAAAACAACCTTAAATTTATTGGAGCTTACACATGCATGCCGGCCTGCATTTCAGGGGGGTGTGGCTTAGCCAAACGTCCACCTCATTCCAGCTGGCGACGTCGCCCTGCGAGTTTTCGTGCATCACTCCATTGTTTTCACAACACGCTTGGCTCTGGTTCAATGTTAACAGAGCAAGTGTCAGCACGCCGACCGTCGCCGCAAGGCAGCCTGCCAGAGTTTTGTTTGCTCTCTGCATGGACGCCACAAAAGTCCTCGGCTTTCCAGAGCACCCGGCAGGTGGCCGGACGCCGCGCACCAAATGAATGCTAGCGCTAATACGTGTTGCTGCAGGGTGTTGGCGTATGACATTTTTTTTCCCCCCCCAACATTCGCCGGTGCGGCGCTCGCAGCAAAGTGTCGACACAAGTGGCTGAAATGAGTTCCCTCCGGCGTCTGGATTTGAATTTTCTGCTTTTTATCACCGACAACTGCTCACTTATAATCATTCCCCGGCCCCCTTGTTGCCGTGGCGACCGCTCCCATACAGCATATTTGCCTTTCCCCGCCGTCTTCAAAATGTCAACAGTATTTGTCATTCCCTCTCCAGTCGCCCTCGGGCACGTTGCTCAAAATGAAGATTAAAATTACCATCAGCACGGAAGCGACGGTTAGTGTTTTAATTGCACGACTGGACGGCCGGCAGCACAGTGGGCTAGTGATTAGCACGTCTGCCCTAAAGATCTGGAGCTTGTATGATCTCCCTGTTCTTGAGTAGGTAATTTTTTCGGTAATACTCCAGTTTCCTCCCATATTATTGCTACTCAATAAATATTTTCTCTTATAAATTTTCAGCTCCCAACTAATAAAACAGGGATGGGCATCTGGCGACCCCTTGATTATTTTTATTTTGGGGGGGGCGAGGGGGGCGTGAGGGGAAAATTCACATGTTGACAAATACTGGGGGGGGGGACGTAGTGGGGGGCATACGGTGGATATGCGGCAATGGTACTTTCAGTTGTAATATCACCATTCACCACTAGATGGCAGACACAGCCTAGTTGCACTTACACTCAATGTTGGATTTCCGTTCAGCAGTTTTGTGCCGTCCTTGAACGCTCAATTTTATGCCATGTTGTGGTTTGCGTCGAACCCTTTGTTGTCGAGTTAGGATAGTAGATGCACGTATTTTGTCCACATTTAAAATAGCATTTTTGTCATAAATCTGGTTAGGAAGTGTGTTGTCTGATGTGGCCCCTTCAAGCCCCCTTCCCCCCTCCCTGCACCCCCTACGGATTGCGGCCAATTTCATCACACCACAACATTCGATGCCAGCTCGACCGCGATCTTTGGGCTGTGATGGCAGCCATCCGAGAATCATCGGGAAGGACGTGTGACACGGTTTCATCAGCGAGAACGTTTCCACTCCTCCGCTGGCTGGCTGGCTGTAAACTATTTTGGGAGGCACACTTGTAAAATAGGCTTGGAGTCTGCTCGATGGTTTGAAGTGGGGACAACACACACGCGCACGTCGACACTCTTGTACACACACACGGCCCCTTCAAGTAGCACTGATGAAAAATTGTGGCCTTGCCCCCCCCTCCAGCGTGTGAATGTTTGTCTACCTGAGTATGTGGAATTAGATGGCAACCAGTCTGGGATATTACAGTCCTGTACGCCTTGTTTGTCTCGCCCAAAGTTAGCAATGATAGGCTCGAGCTCACCCGTGAACCGAATGAGAACAAGCATTATGTCGATAATCGCTGCTCGCCCCCCCCTTCCCCCCTCCCTGCACCCCCTACGGATTGCGGCCAATTTCATCACACCACAACATTCGACGCCAGCTCAACCGCGATCTTTGGGCTGTGATGGCAGCCATCCGAGAATCATCGGGAAGGACGTGTGACACGGTTTCATCAGCGAGAACGTTTCCACTCCTCCGCTGGCTGGCTGGCTGTAAACTATTTTGGGAGGCACACTTGTAAAATAGGCTTGGAGTCTGCTCGATGGTTTGAAGTGGGGACAACACACACGCGCACGTCGACACTCTTGTACACACACACACACACACACACACACACACACACACACACACACACCGCGCTCCAGGAGCCAATGCTATTTGCCAGGTTTGCTAATTAAACAAATTAATTTGGCCGGGCATGTGTGATGAGAGTGCAGACTACCCAAATGCAACCTGCTGCCTTCCTTTTTACACACACACACACACACACACACACACTATAATGAACTTTGGGAGACACCAAGAGTTGTCTTTTTAGTGGATTATATTTATTTATTTTACAAGAATGGGGGAACTTGCCCAAAGCGGACACATACAATGCAGTATACATGGTCCTCTGACACACACACACACACACACACACACACACACACACACACACACACACACACACACTCACAAATTGTTATAAACTGGACTGAACTGCGAGAGATGTCGTTTCAGTTTACTACCTGCAAGGATGGGTGAGCTTGCATCGAGCCGAAGCACTGGCTGTGTGTTCACCTGCCTTTTTTTTTTTCTTTTTTTTTTTTTTTTAAACGTATTCCAGCCACGGATACAAGAAATTGCATAGAGGAGATAAACAATGCATTATCTAATAACACACATGCCCATACACACACAGAGTTGTATTTTTAGTGTGTTTCGCACAAGGAGAGGAGAAATTGCATTATCTCATCGCACAAACATTCACTGTACTCAACACCAAGAGTTGTCTTTTTTTTTTTTTAAGTGTATTGTCTTGCGAGAGAAGTTGCAAAGAGCAGACACGTGGAAGGCAGTAAGCAAGGTCCTTGGTTGAGCACCGGGTGTGCCTTTGGTACTTTGGTGTCTGTGGGTGTGAACAGCGAGCCTGGTAACTAGAACTTCAGATTTTTTTTTTAATGTTTGCTGTTTGTGCTGTTTGATGCTAAGCTAGCTCAATGACATCGCTAACACGCTTTGTGTTTTTGAGAAAACATTTGGGGGAATTTAGGAGTATGCGGTCCATGGCTTTAGATCCTTTCGCATCAGGATGTTTGTTGTTCTTCCTGACTTGTCAGCTCTTCATCACATTTTTTTTTGTTTATTGGTTTTCTCGCATTCTCACTCGCTGCCTGTGAGCAGGAGTGTCCCGCTGTCACGAACCCCGTTCCCCTCATTCGAACGTCACCCTGTACCACGCCCGCTGACTTTCTAGAGCCCCATATCAGTCCCTCCTCTGTTTTTCTCTTTCTTAGTTCCTCCCAACCTGACAGTCCCCCGGGGCAAGTCCCCCCTGGTGGCCCGTGAGGGTGACACGGTGGAGCTGGAGTGCCTTGTTTCAGGGAAGCCCAAGCCCATCATTCTGTGGTCGCGGGCCGACAAGGAGGCGCCCATGCCGGACGGAAGCATGCAGATGGAGAGCTACGACGGAGCGCTGCGCGTCGTCAACGTGACGCGGGAGATGACCGGATCGTACCGATGTCAGACCAGCCAGTACAACGGATTCAACGTCAAGCCCCGCGAGGCCGTGGTGGAGCTCATCGTCCAATGTGAGTGTAACGTTCAGAACGTGTTATGTCCAGTGCAACAAGGATGTATTCTCAGCCCCCTTCACTTTTTCCACATCATTTAATGCTACAGCCTTATTACGAAATGGAATATAGTGAGCGCGTATTCAAGGTCAGCATCCAAACAATAACAAAAAGTACAACGATTTGGACTCTGTAAGCTTGATGGGGGGGAAAAAAAAACACCATGAATTCCTCATCGCAAATGTCATAAATCTGTGCGACCGGAGACCATCGTGCAAAATGTTAAGTAGTTGAATCGTAAGAAAAAAATTACGGGAAGTTAGCGCCGTGATTTGCCGAGCAGCGGGAAGCTGAGCAGAATTACAGCATAACGTAGCATTTGTCTGACGGCGGCGTAATTAGAGCGAAGGAAACGACTAAATAACAACTCGGGGCCCGCAAGCTTTTTGCACAACACTTCCTCGCCTTTTATGATGTTGTTTTCTCTCCGCGTTATTGCCGTCATGCGGCTACGGAGTACTCACAAATGAAAATGTGAGTCAGTAATGCCGAGTTCCACCAAAGAGAGAGCGTCTGTCGACTCTAAAAGCTTTCCTCAACAAAGAAATAGGCTGCCGCTCGTACGCCAAAGCAACAGGTGGCGCGCGTCAATATAAAGCCAATCAGAAGCCCAAAGAATGTCACTTTTGCAAAAGCCAAATAAATGGAAAGTGCATCACCGCAGCCGGGAAGATAATTATAAAAATGGGCGTTATTCTGACACAGGGACTAGTTACTCATATAAAAATACAAGTAGCCTATTATTAAAATCACGTATCTTCATACTTTTCGGCAGACATGCTAACCACTTGGATAAGATGTCCACTGTAGTAACCGCTGTCCCTGAAAGGGTTAATAAGATAGAACTTGGATTACTAACTAAATTTTTTAAACACATAACTAGTAACTGTATCGGAATATTTTTTTCAAAGTCACCGTCCCGACCCTGATGACAATTTACGCTCTCTGCGCCGTAGCCTTTCTGTCTACATTGAAATTGTAATCCTGTGAAATAATTCCAATTTAAAAAAAAAATGTACCCATAATCTGATTAGGATTTTTTTTTCCCCAAACTGTAACGGAGTACATTTACTTTTTTCGTGTGTGTTCTGAATATGTAAAGCCGGGCATATGTGTTCCATTGCTCCCAACCAAAAAATTTCACCAAATCAAGTCGCTCACAATCAGTCACAATATGTCTTGGAAGTAAATAAAACAATCATTTGTAGGAGCCCCATCCTCTTCAAGCGGTTACTTTTTTTTTTTAATAAAGTGTGGGCGCTTTCATCCGCTGACCTTCCTCAAAGCAGCACACCTAATGAACAGCATTATTAATCAATCATCCCGGCATCTGCAGCCTAGCCTTAATGGCCGCCATCAAAGCCAGCGCCGGAGCTGACGCGTGACTCTCTCCGAGCGTGAAACCAAGACGAGGGAAATTTGCTTTATCTCCCCAATCCAGCCCTGATTCCGTTCACACCTCCTGTACACATACCGAGCCCCACGTCTTCATTTTCTTCTTCTTCTTCTTCTTGGCATGTAAGCGCATGCCAATCCTTCCCCTCGCATTTGTTTTCCAAGCGCAAGTAAATCAAGTCAACAGCTTTGATATGTAATAAAAAGATAAATTAAAAAAAAAAACAGTTTCTGAACGCTGCATCCATCTTGTGTGGACAGCTAGCGGCGTTTAAAAAAAAAAAAGTCCACCGTTCGCTAATGGAATTGTGAAAATCCCGAGCTGTGACGCCCCTAATGTTCTTAGGCAAACCGGCTTGGCACGGTCCACGGGAAGAAGACGAACGAAGACCAAGCTATGTCGTGTTCTCCTGTCCTAGATACCGGCGTTCCACTTCCCGGCCCTGCCCTGATGCATGGGAATTCTCGTTATCCTGGCCTTCCTTATGTTCCCCATCGCAGCGGGAGCGAGCGTCCTCGCTATCTGTCGCCAAAAAAAAAAAAAAAAAAAAGAAAAAAAAAGCCTTCCCAACAATATACAACCACCACCTGAGCAAACATCGCAGTAAATTGTTAACTTCCAAGCGCTGTCGCTAAGTAGAGCAGCGGCACGTAAAAAGTCTCTTTGATGAATCAAAGCATGGAGATGTTTGTCAAAAAAAAATGTTATTCTGAGCCTTTTACGCTTTTATATTTAATATTTGGAGACAGAAGTGAGAGATTTAATCTTAAATTGATGTGGAAACATTGTCTTAGGAGGCAATTAGCCTTCCGGAAGAAGCATATTTGGTTTGCAAGCGAGAAAAATTAGCTTAATGAACCGCGTTGTGATTTGTCTTTGTAATTAACTTCTGTGCATCTGTATGACGAAGGCCAGCAAAACCCACTGCAATTGATTGCTGTGGAAGCGATTAGCCTTTAGCATATTAGCATCAGACGAACACTGGCTGTTCCATCTGCGACACTACGAAACCGCTCACAGTCATCTAAGTTCAAATTTGGAAATCGCAACGAAACTAGTAGCTGATGGTTGGCTGCTCATGAAGAGTACAGTATTTTCCGCACTATAAGGCGCACCTAAAAGCATTTTATTCTCTCAAAAGCTGACAGAGAAGGGGGGGGCGGGGGTCAAACTGAGAGAGGAAGCCGCGTCCTTACATAAGGAGAGCCTTGTACCTTGACGTCATCGCCGGGCAAAGCAAACCACGCTTACTCCAATTTGCTTTGCTGCCACTCCAGCCGTGAGGCGATGACTCGCCAGCAATAATGACGATGATGAAACTCCGCACGGTGATTGCGTCGGGTTGTACCTGCCAGGTATCGTTCATTACGAACAATAAAGCATCTTTGGAGGCTCAAAATGTACGGCGAGTATTTGAATGAAGGAGCCGTCAATCATTTGTTTGCAATTTTTTTTTTTTTTAAACGGGCGTCGGCCGTCAGTGGCAATTGACGGGCTGTTAGCTAGCGAATTAGCGCAAGACACAGAAGTGACAAAATGAAAGAGTGAATTAAGCTCAGCTAAACGTGGCTTCTTTTTTTTTTTTTTTTTTTAACTTCGACTTCTTGACACATATTGTCACATAGCATTCAACTGCCACCCTAATTTTTTAAAAATTGAATATGTGATGATGGGCAGTTTGGAGAGTGAATGAATGAATGAATGAATGAGGATATGTTTTAAAAATAAATTAAGATGTCATTCATGTACCCATCGAGTGAGGAAGGCGCAGTAATTACACTGGGATACTAATACAAGCGTGTTGCTGACAATTTCAATCAGCGAATCAGCCATGTGTGCCGTCTTATTTTGAACCTGACATCCCTGTGATGGGAAATATGCAAATGGGAGGCAATTACAAGTTGTTGGAAGCTTGCGTTTTTATTTTTTTATTTCTTTATTTTTTTTCCGAAGACCGGCCATAATGTTTGTTATAAAACGGACAATAATTTCAAATCCCGTGCACATTTACGCACGCAATTAATTCAGTGACATTTTCTGCGTCCGCCACCGCAGTCCGATGTCGCAAAATGTTTTCTCGTGGTCAGTGGCTGTCAGCGATATTCCGATAAAAATGCCCCAATACATGTCGACTTTTGCGGACGTGACTTGCCCTCATACGGCGGTCTCCTCCTTTCCCAACTAGACCCCCCAACGGTGGAGCCGGTCCACACGGAGCTGCGCCAGGGCCTTGGCCGGCCCGTGGTCATGACGTGCCGAGTGCTGCGGGCGCACCCGTCTCGCGTGCTGCGCTTCGAGTGGCTGCTGTCCAATCGGCTGCTGCATGCCGGCCCTTTCGACACGCAGCGGGACGACACCGAGTACACCATCCGCAGCCTGAACCGCGACGGCTGGGGCGAATACACCTGCAAAGTCATCAACGAGGCCGGTGCGGGAAAGTGCACTTTCCACGTCACAGGTGAGCCGTCCGCCCTCGCTGGACCCGTGCGCCAACGTGCTTCGCATTTATTGGTTTGTAAATTTCCTTGAGAGCCTCATAAAATTCCCGATTTGTACTTAGAACTGCATTTCTGGTTTAAAAAAATTAATTCATTCTACTTTATTTGCGTAAAATGACTTTATTCTACTCATGTTTTTTCACTCATAAAACTACAGCTCAATGTTTTTTTAAGCATTTTGTGATTCGTAAAATTACAACTTCAACCTTTTAAATTACACTAATAACTGTTAAAATGTCTTTTTTTTATGTCGAGTAAAATGACAAATTTGCTATCAGAAAAATGTCTGACAGACTGACTAATATTACGTTATTCTTGCGAAGTTTCCCTCCACAGTTCTCATGGAATGACCATTTTATTAACCTAAAATAGACGATGTTTTTTGTTGTCGTATTGTGACATTATTCCTGGAAAAAAAAATCATTTTTTTCGAAATCAATTTTTTTATATTCATAAAATTAAACTTTGTTCCTCATTTTTTTTTTTTTACGTCTTTCTGATTAAATAATAATTCTCAAAAACACAGCAAAATAAAGTCGGGGAAAAAAAAGCAAATAAACTCCAAGTAACCGCTTCAGTTGGACAGTTTAAATCGAGCCATCAGACTTGACTTCTCCTAACAACAACAACATTTGCAAGTGTATCCGTCCATCCCTTCAACATGCGCACCCCTGCCTGTGCTTTTTTTTTTTCCCCCTTTTTTATGGACAGCCCAAATTGTCTCGTTGCACACGAAACGCTCCTCCACCGCCGGCGTCTCACCAGAGATTGACAATTCAATTGAAAGAGCCGCCAAGGAAAGGGAAAGGAAAAGTCCATCTGAGTAGGTGTCGCTCACGTCGTCGCCACCGCTGTCTGCTGCAGCTTTTTTTTTTTCCTTTGCTTCAAGAAATGGAAGCTTCCATCTAGTTAGCTCCGGTTGACGCCACCAAATTAATTTGGAGAATGCTTCCAATCACGCAAGTCTTCTAAACTTCCTGTCACAAATGACTCCAGTTAAAGTCATGAAGCTAACCATGGACGCATTTGAAACTAATCTTTGTACAGGGCGCACCACATTAAAAGGCGCTTAGATTAGAAGCTACAATAGTGGCTGCGGTTGCATTATGCATCCACTAGATGGAGCTCCGCTAAAGGGATTACAATACAGCGTTATTTTTCAAGAGATTTCACCACCGCTGCAGCTGTCACAAAGCGCTTTCCAAGAACATTTAAAATACTACGGCCAACAAATCAGAATATTGATCCATATAGAAGCCGCATCTGATTATAAGGCGCACTGTTGACTTTTGAGAAATGCTTCTGGGTGCGCCTTATATTGCGGAAAATATGGTTGTTTTTCCATCAGACTATCTTCCTGTTTCTTTTGATTTCCGTGGCAACCTGTCCAAGCAGTGCACTCGGTTTAACAGCAAACCACAATTGGATGTAAAAGGCAGGAAAAGGCTGGCTTTTACAGGCAGTACGAAAGACGCCTTTATTATCTACCTCTGAAAGCAGAAAATGACCCGATATTTTCCGCATGGCAATTGGTTGCCATTTATACAGAAGAGAAAAGGCGAACAAAAAAAGTCAATTTTTAACACAGCGGTGCGAAAGTTGTTTGTTGCGCCCTCTGAGGGAGGAAAATTGCTTCACCCATTATGTCTGTTTTCTCTGAATTCCAATCATATCGAACGGTGACACAGTAAAAGACGACCAAATCCCTGTTTTCACAGGCATGTGTGAAAGTTGTTAATACTGCTGCTGAAAGAGGAAAATTGCAGGGTTGACGAACCCCCTTCTTGACACTGTTTCTACGCCGGGGTAGAAAAAAAAAAATCCCCAGTCGACTGATGATCAGCTCATCAGCAAGCCTGATTACGATCCTGATCATTTGAATCGGGCGTGTTGGAAGAGGGAAACTTCTAAAACTGGCAAGAGAGCGGCTCCCAATTTCTTCCTTCCATACCCGTTTAGCGGCGTTTCTAATTGTAAAGCCTCCACCTCGTGTGCGACACAAATGTCGGCGAAGCAGGTACGGTATATCCGAGGCATCCCGTTCACGCCCACCCCCTCTTCCCCCGCAGCCAATTGTGTTTTCCGGCTTCTGTCGCTCAGCCTCTTTTGCTTTCATCCGCCATTCCCTCCCTCCCTCGCTCTTCCGCCCCAGCGTTCCACATTCTTGCCATCTGGACTCGCCGCTTGCCAAAAGTAAGTGAGGGCCGATGGGAAGCCTCTCTCAGTCGGGGGGGAAAAGAGAAAGAGGAAAAAAAAATCCATATATATATATATATATATATATTTATATATATATATATATGTCGGGTGGTATGTGTATCTGTATATATATCCATCCATCGTCCCAGCCACTTATATATATTCTTATTATTATTTTTTTTTATTTTTATTTTTTCCGAATCCACCGATGTCATCCGTGAAACGTGCAATGACACGTTGCCTTAACTCCCGATCTTTTCACATTCGAAGATTTTTATCACGGCCGCCGCAATGCGGGATCACAATTGTTCAAAAAAAGTCATATTCATAAATTATGTTGTACTTTTTTTTTTGCTTGTAGAATTGCCGCCTCATTCCTGTGAAACTGAGACTTTTTCTCGCCATGTGGAATTTTTGTTGTCATTGATAACATGATGTTATTCTTAATACATTCTGCTTTTTTTCCTCTCAATGAATCTATTATTTAATAAAAAAATGTTTGCAGGTTGTGGTTATTTCCATAAAATTAAATGTTTTGGCTTAAGCTAACCTTTTTCTCATCTTTAACCTATTCTAAAATAAATACAGCTAAATAAATCAAGAAAAACTCTTAATTTATTCTAATTTTATTCATGTAAAAGCACAGTTTTGTCTGTTTCATTATAACCTTCTCGGGGAAAAAAAAAATAACTGGAATATCCTGTTGTAAAATTCTAATGACATTTTGACTTTTTCTCAGACTTTTTGATAGCTCCTGTCATTTTTTTCTTCTAAAATTAAAGCTTCATAATTTTTTTTCCTTAAAACTGACACCTCATGACAATAATTTGATCCAACTTTCCCCCTGTAAAAATGTCAGACTTCTTTTCTGACGTGACCGCTTTTTATAATCGAGATCATCTCGCCGAATCTCTTCTCCCGCCACTGAGCGAGCAACACTTACCTCTTTTTTTTTTCTTCTTTTTTATGACCGAATGAACAAATACAAGGAATTAGAGGGGGAAAAAAAGCAAGAGGATAACGGCGGGGCTTTGTTCTCCGATGCATTTTGCGAGTCACCTCGTGAAATGAATCCTTCATCATAACGCGCTTGTATGCTCGCGGGTTTTTATTGCAGTCGTTAAAAAAAAAAGGGGACGCAGGATTCATCTTGTAAAACGCAGCCGCATAGTCTTAATTCAAACTCGCAGGTACTCTGTTTTAATTCCATCTGTTTTGACGCGAAAACTTGAACTTGATCTCCACATCAAAGGCGCAATCCGTTGCTTTTCGGCTGGAAGGTTCTAACGTACGAGTCATCGTTTTTGTCGTTTCGCTACCATTCTTCATGTATCTTAGATGAATGATGTCGGGAAGTTACTCGGCATTATCATATACCCCCATTCTGTCATTTGTTGGCGTCTTCAAAAAGCAGTAAAACTCTGAGCGGAACTCCAGAGACACTTCTCAGTCCTCCCCCTTCTGAATACAAGTTGCCTTTAAAGATGCAATCGGGATCAGCGGCTTTAATATGTGCCTTAAAATAGCACGGCACAAAAAAAAAAAAAAAAAAAGTTTGTCGTTTGCTCCAGGGCTCCCCCTATAGTCGCACCGAGCGCATTCGTCAACCGACGCCATCTCTCAACACACGGGGTGGCTAACAATTTAGTAAGTTAACAGTCTGCCAACTCGACAATCTCACCCAAAGGGCCAGATCTGCCCTTTTGGAAGGCGTGCACGCATTCAACGTTACAGATGCTAAAGTGCCTTTTGTTCTCATCAAAATGGAGAAAAATAAACGCATCAGCGATCTGTTAGTATCCTCTCTTCAGGTTCACGCGAGGTGGAAGCATAGAGTGGTTTGGGGGAGGGGGAGGGGAGACTCATCGTGACACCTCTTAGTCGGAGAAGGTTCATGAAACCTTTAGGAAAAAAAAAAAAGCAAAAAATAAAGTCTACAAATAAGGTCAACGTGCCGCCGGAAGGTTCCACTGAGCCCCTCTTCTGAGTCATTGCATCGGTTCTGCTGTTCTAAACAGGATTTGGGAAGAGATCAGTTAAGCCGCATGTACTTTTATCTTTGATGTCTCCCACCCAGGGTTATGTGTTTCAAGGCGGGCTAAGACGGTTAGCTCCCGCGCCGTAATCGCAGAGGTGAGGCTATTTGGCGCCACGATATTTTTTTTTAACCCGCAATGTATTAAAAGATACTGTGGGTTTGATTGGTCGCAAAAACACAGAAGCCGTCGGCGCAACTCTGTGGGCCACCGCTTCTGTCACCAAGTGTGGCTTTACTGCAATGCTAATTGCTCTTGAAGGCATCGTCTCCACCTAGCATGACGTCAACTTGAAAACTTTACGGCATGCGGTGAATTTTTATCCCCCACCTCTGTCGGCAATTATGGTTCGATGGGAACATTAAATGTAGCTCGAGTTGTCGTCTCGCGCGTAGCCTGTGTGAGGAAATTGTTTACAATTTAGTGTGACTGTTTTAGCTGCCACTTCTGTCGTAAGAGTCGTTTAGACTGTCAAGCTAATCGTGCTTAAAACATCTTTAATACTGCAGGAAAGTCGTTGACAACATATTTTTATTTTTTCATATTTTAAACCCTCACTTCTGTCACAAAATACGCTTCTTCATGTTTTGGATGGGAACGGTTGGCGAAACGGATTGGCTGTGCATCAAAAACAATATGGGCGCTTATGCACATGGTGGCTCTCTGGAAATGTGACCTTTTCAAGCAGCTTGTGAGTCATCAAAAAGAGAGAAATGATGACGGAGATCATTTAAAGTTTGAAGCAAAAGCGAGGACATTATGTAAACACACACACACACAAACACGCACACACAAGGCAGATTGCACGCGCACACACACACACGACTAATTATTACTACAACTAAATGGCGTGCAAATAGTTTGTCAAATGTAAAATTGGTGATATGCTGTCAATACATTTGCCATCAAAAGCACATTTTCATTGTCGTTGGTATTTTAGAGAAGAAAAGTAGACTTCAGATGTTTGAGATGTCGATAAAGCAAAAAATTATTAACATCAGCCACCACTGCGCATAAAATATGCCCTTTCACAAAAACCGTTTGAAGCAGTTTTTGGTCCAAAACGTAATTTGAGTCAACCCGACCTATATTCTACCGCTGATTTCTAAAAAATAGAATAAGGTGGAAACAATATTAATAGTAATCATTTTTTTCTTTTATTTTAAGAATCAAATCTTTCAGTCGCTAGCTTTCTGTGTTCACATAAAACAGAATACTGCGTGAGGCTCGAAAGATCAGTCAGAATGCTCTAAATTGGCGGGCGCTCAATAGGTTCTTTTCTATTTTTTAATCGCTGACATTGAATGAGTTAATGCTGTGCTGAGAAGTCTTTTACAGCATGTGAGCACCACTTCTGTCACCAAAAATGATTTCAAGTTCTGTAAAGGTCGACGAACATTATTATTCGGGCCAGTGCAGGTTATTTAATGAAATTTTTTTTTCATTTGTTTACCTCGGTATGTGCGCAACAAAAGTTCAGTGGACTCAGGAGGAGACCGTATCATATGTGTGAAAGGTATCGTCTACGTACTGCACTATGTGGAAATCTCTGCCGTAAACAGTCCCCAAAATGGGACTAACTTTACAAGGTCACCCCAAGCGCTTAAGCCGGCAGAATGTGTCCGCTCACGATGGGTAAATCCTCAATTCCGAAAAAGCAAAAGAAGAAGTCGAGGTCTGATTTAAAAAAAAAAAAAAAGAAAAGAAAAAAAAAAGGATTTGGACACTTTTGGGTGTTGCTCGAGTGGATGTTCCACTATGTGATATGTGCTTTGATTGCGTGCCATGAAAGCAAAGTGTGTCAGATGACGGCAGGGGGGGGAGGGAGGGAGGGAGGGGGTAATTGGGTCACGACAGTAGCAAAAGAGATATGATATAGCGGCGTTTGGAAATAGAACAAACACAACATGGTGGAGATAAGAGCCACTGTACATCTTTGTCATGCTAATTCCAGCTCTGCTCTTGAAAGAATTTGGGTCGTGTTTACAAATGAAACATTCAAGTCATGAGCCGCAATGAAGGCATTGCAAATTAATGCGACCAATGTTACTGCGCCAAAAAAAAAAAAAAAAAAAAAAAGAAAGACGACGACATCGATTTCAGCCACATTTTGAGTGGTCCATTTTTTGAGACCCCCACTTGTGAACCAAATATGGCTCCTCTCCCAATTTAGTTTTTGTCATTTTTATTCACGTTTGTTTGGGAAAGCTTGGCCCATTTTGAGACCCCACTTCTCTCACCAACTACAGTATCAGCACTGTTTTTTATTTATTTTAATATGCTTGGGAGCTCAAGGTCTATTATGAGTCCCAAATTCTGCCACATCTTGTCCAAATTATTCACTGACGCACGATTGTTTGTTCATAGTTTTGATTTTGAGACCCCACTTCTCTCACCAAATCTAAATATCGAATGAATCCGTTTTTTCTGCCGGTTGTTTGTTACACAGGCAAGGCCTACGCTCCTGAGTTCTACTACGACACCTACAGCCCTCTCTGGCAGAACCGGCCCAGGATCTACGACTTCAAGCTCCAGTGGACGCAGATGAACCCCAACGCCGTCGATCGCATCGTGGCCTACAGACTCGGTCTCAGACAGGTAGAAACTTGTCTGGTACTACCTTTCACTTCCATGTACCAATCTTCAATTATAGTTTTTTTTTTTTTTTTTGTAGCTTTCCAAATCAGGAAAATTCACTTACTCAAGTATGCTGGTTGTTAATCTGCCTTTTCCCAGCTCTATACAGAAGTATGAGTTGTTGTTTTTGCCACGGAGGTGGGGGGGGGGGGGGGTCTTCTCCCCAAAGTTTGCACGTATGCTTTGTCATATTTGCCTTGACGCAGACGAATCTTTACACCTCAATTCAGCCGCTCGCCGCCGTATTCGGGGAGTGGGAGTGAGCCTCTGCGGGAGGTAGAGAATCACTAAGAAGCTGTCAGTTGTAGTCAAGTAAGAGTCTTGGGGCTTCTTTTTTTTTTTTTAAGGAAACGTTAACCCAAAATCGTTTGAAGCGCACTCAAAGGAAGAGGAAGCGAACCGGCGGCGAAGAATGCAAACTGCAGTCCAATGCATGGCTCGCTTCGAGTTGCAGTTTTTATTTTATTTTTTCCTCTTCCATGAATTCCTGAACCGGCAAACAGAAACACCTCGTCTTCTTTCTCACACTCGGTGTTTGTAGGTGTTTCTTTCGAGCCAACGCGGCAGGCAGCACGCCAGCTTCGGATAAAGCCGTACGCATGCCGGCCGCATTAATACGTCGGATTTTCAGGTTACCACCAATGTGAGGTGACATTCAAGAGCCAGTTTAAAAAAAAAAGTGTGTTTGCGGCAAACATTCCAAATCCATGTTTGTGTCACCGCGCTTTTTGTTCTCCATCGGCTCTCTCTCTCTCTCTCCAAAATGGCTAAGGAAGTGATTTCACGCTTTTTCAACGCCACTCACCACTGGTTTTGTCTGAGAAGTCGCCAGCCGCAACGCGTTCTTAAGCCCGTTCCGCTCACAGCTGCTCTCTCCCTCGCACACGCGTTAATTCGGAAAATCTCATTAACATTTCAATGTTTTTTCTTTTTCGCACTCAAAAGAGAACATGTTTGGGGTGAATTAATTCATTTCCACCTTATTCCCTTTGTCTGTCGGGAGAGTAGATGGTGTCCCCTACCAGGCAAATCACCCTCCTCCTCCATCTTTTTTTTTTTTAGCCGACAATTCTTTTTTTTTTTTTTTTTTGTGGACTTCCTGGATATTACGCAAAGATTTAATGCCAAACAAAACAGGTACCATATTTTTCGGACTATGAGTCACGGCGGAATATATGTTGCGCCAGTCCAAAAAGAAAAAAAAAAAAATACTACACACACAAAATCCACCAAAATTATTTGCCTCCAAAATTATTTGCCAACCGACAAAAGAATTTCGACAAACACATCGAGGAAGATGCTGTAGTCATGGCAACTCATGTGTGAAGCATCGCTCGTTTCGCATGCGGCTCCTTCGTGCCCCAACAAGCCGTTTTGAATTAAAAGAATCACTTTTCCGTCCAAAAACTTCCCCGAGAGCTTGAAATTCCTCCTACGAACAAATCTGTCAGGACGAGGTCACATGATATGTCCCAAAATTGATCTGTCATCCCTGTTTGTGCATGTCGATCAATACCGGCAACACTAATTACACGCCGGCAAGCTACCGTAAACCAAACGCCCGCTGTAATATGATCACGTTTGCATTTTCCCCCTCCGACACGTTACCGCGATCAATCCCGACAGTTTCTGCCATCAAGAGAAAAAAAAAATTAAGTCCAACACAGCCCAGCTGCAATCAGATGACGTTAAATCAATACGGCACACTTCTGCGGAAATAAGTGACAGTGGGACGTGAACAGGCGCCTTAATTGAATGCCGGAGCCAGAGATTCATTCATGTATCAGAACAAGGGTGCAAAATCCATCAGCCAATACATGCAAAAAAATAAAATAAAATACAGCAAATAGTGCCAAGCTTGGCCCGGCTCACTTGACACTGCGCGTCGCGGATTTGAATCTCGACAGTGACATTGCGGATTTCCATCTCCAGAGTTAAGTTACCCCGGCGACGAACTTCTAGCAACCTTAGATTCCGTTACCTAGTTGGGGCTCCGACTATCAACAAAGCATCAGAACGGGCTCGTGAATCCAAGAGGTCCGGAATAAGTCTTGGCTGGGAAAATCTGCGCCGGTCCTCAGAGACTGCGCGAAGCGGTGAAAACATCCCCGGGGAGCCACCGCTACTTCACATCAAGAGGAGTCTGTTGAGGTTGGTTGAGGCATCTGATAAAGGCAGAATAATAGCAGATCTCATCTGGCTTCAGCTTCCCCTTGGGACAAGCTGGAACGCAGAGGAAAAGGGGACGCTTGAGTTGCCTCGCTCATGTCTGCTGCCGAACCATGACATCGCGATAAATGGCCCACAGATGTGTTGCTCAGCAAGAGATCGTCTTTGACTCGTTTTTTCCCGGATTTGTAACTGCTGTAATTTGCCAGTCGAATCGACGTGTAAGAGGAGCCTGGTGATAGCCGTAGAGCGCTAAAATACGGACGAGCTTCGCACTAACTAGTCAGAGTGAACAGTAGTTGGCAGTGTTTTAGTCATGTGGTACATTTTTTTTTTTGGTTGTTGCCCAAGCGATATAGTTACAGAACGAGACTCTCTTTGAAAGTTAAGAAATTTTGTGGTTAGCGCCTGAGGCAGTAACACGTCCTGTCCCTTAGCTGTGCGGGTTCTGAAAAATCACCATGAAACATGTACGATCAATTAACGGAATACTTTAGGGGCTCCTCAGTTTATAATTGACTTTCATTGAAGGCGCGCCTTATACACCGAAGCGCCTTATAGTGCGGAAAATACAGTACTCCATAACGTACCTACGCTAACACAAGAGTAGTATAATAACATTGTTGAATTTGTACCCGTAAGACCCTCCTGCACTTGATGAACACTGGGGAGGAACACAGCAGCTGGTATCATTTTAGGAACGTTTCATGATTCAAACCCCCGTACGTCAGAACTGTGAGTCAGACGTGCTAATAATCACTTGTCTGTTGTGCCGCCAGGGACGAAGTGGTTCCCATTTTCTTATAGAATGTCAAGCCACCGAGCTTAGACATGGTTACTTGTGTCTACCGCCATGAGTTGTCAGTTTTCTCTTGCTGGTCGACAACAAGTGTGAGTTGTGTGTGATTCCCTGTGTCTTATTTGCTCGCGAAACTAGCTGTAATGAAAAGCGTATAATGGCGTTGCATCCTCCAGACTCCAAGTAATTACTTCACTCGGAGCGTTCTCTCGCGCGCGCACGCGTGCCGCTATTTCATTGGATTTGCAAGCGGGACTGAGAAGGGCATGCATGCCTTGCCTCTGTTTGGGATGCAGGAGTCGTCTTTGCTTTTTTTTTTTGGTGCGGTGCTGCCCGCCCCGTGAAAGCTTATTCTCAAGGATAAAACGTACCTCGCTAACTCGCATAACCCCCGCGGCCACCGCTGCGGCAAACCCTTTTTTTTTTCTTTTTGTACCTCCGTGAACCTCACAGGGGAAGCCGGAGCTTAGCCATGGGATGTATGGAATTCCATCAGTTACAAGCGCCGTCCTCAAAAGCGGTGACTGCAGCCTTACCTTTAAGGGCAGGGGGGGGGCGCAATCAAGCCGATGTGACTCCATCCTTGCTGATGGGCTGAAAGCCGACTGAATTCAAAAAGGCTCACAAGCTACTTTGAAGGCAAACGTGGCTAATGAGCAGCGAGCTGTCGACGGCTCACACAGGGAAATTGTTTTAGTTGTGTCGCATTTAATGTTGACGCGTCCCGACAAACATGCTGAGACGAGGTTAATTGGGAGACGCGGGGGAACCTCCTGCTGAGGATTTTTGAAAGGGATGCATATTGGCTCGACTTAAATGCAAGCAAAGAATGTCCTTTGTAATGTTCATCCAGTGACGCCGAATGCAAATACCACTCAACGTACTTAAGCTCACTTTACGTTCTCAATGGTGAAAAATGGGATATTAAAAGCATATTTTTTGGGGGGAGAGCTGAACGAGCTTCAGGTTTCATATTATGCCAAATCTGCTTGAGCAGGAAACCGCTGCCTAACAAATTTGCAAACTTTCAACAAAATCTACAATGTAATTGGTAAATGGGATACAAAAAAAAATACACCAATATAAAAGGAAAAAAAACAGGAGGCTTGGAACACTTCCTAGTTCGACTCCACATTTAATTTTTTTTTTTTTTTTTTTTTTTTTTTTTAATTTTGCCCGTTATCTCCACAGATGGGACAGCAGCGATGGTGGGAGCAGGAGATTCCCGTGGACTGGACGATCAACAAGGGAGAGCTCATCACCCATAACCTGACGGAGCTCATCAAGCCTGAGTCCTACGAGGTGCGTCTCACCCCCATCACCCGTTTCGGCGAGGGTGACTCCACCGTGAGGATCGTCACCTACAGCGGTAAGGACTCGTTTTCGATTTGCAAAGACCACCGTAAAGTCCGTAAGATTGGGTTTGATGAACTCCAGATCAGTTTTCCTGTCATGTTATTCAGCGACTCATCAAACGTTCACCCCGGCATGAGGCGTTGCCGCGTTCATCATGCCGGGGATGCGACAGATTATGTATGATATGCAAAAGAAAGAGAGGGTGGGGGGAAGAGTGAACTCATTCATGTAATTCCAATTGCATCCAACGCCATCCGTCACCGGGAGACAGCTGGAAATCAGCTTGCTTTGCTCCTTCGCCCGTTTGAGCCAAATGAATGTTGATCAAGCGACTCATCGCCTCCTTCCGCCGTGACCTTTATTGCCTGAGTCAGGTCGGCTTTCTTTGCGCGAGCGCTCGGCAGCGCTTGAATGTACCGCGTGAGTCAAATGTTTAGTTTGGGTCAAAGGAGCAAACAGATCAGCAAGTGACTCGAGTTCGCTGTCACTCAACTTGAAGTGACATTTTTTAGAGGAGGTTTTTATGGTGAACCGGAGCGAGCTGACAAAACTCCCCAAGTCACCTTCTGAATAAATTTGAATATAACAAAAAATAAAAATGAGTTTTCGAAAGAAAATGAATCAAAATTGGCTTGGTGAAAAAATATGATCTTGTGTGTTGAACTTCGACAAGAGACATCTGGGAAAAGTTGCATTTCTCTCACATATTCAAATTCATTCAGTTGCGCTTGTCCACCGCACACGGCAAATAAGAACGCGCAGATTGAGGTTTGTCGAACGCGGGTATGTGAGGACCCCGCTGCCGGAGTCATCGTCGGCGGCGGCTGAACTCAAGGAGATTGAAAGCAATCAAAGAAGAATGAAGAGAATTGAGGCTAATTAGGATGGAGCAGAAGGAGAGCGAGAGAGAGGGAGAGAGAGCCCAGTTCGGAGGAAACAAAGATTTCTTCTTTTATTTATAAAGTGAAGAAGAGAAGGAGGAAGAAGAAGAGAGCCTTTTCCTTATGTGCGAATCGCCTGCCCGACGAGAGACCGGACTAATTATCACTCAAGGGCTGCTTCTGTTCTCCCACGCATGGTGTGGCGTCACGGGCTAATGTAGGTCTGAGATGAATGCACTCTCCTCGCTCAACTCGTCCCGCAAGACGTGCCGACTGACATGGAGAAGATAGTCCGGGGATCTTCTGCTTATTGTCACACTCGTAAACACTTTTTTTTGTTGATTTGTTTGTTTTTTGTCATTGCTGTTGCTTTAGGGAAAAAACGAGATGGAGTGAAAGATGATGTTTGTATTGTGCTAATGTGATCCCCCGTATATGCAATATACATATGTGCCATCGTCTTCATAGGCCGGCATTAAATATACATTGATTTCTTTTTTTATTCAGAATTCACTTTGCTTAAATGGAACCAATATTTACATTTGGTAGACTCCCGTAAAGCTCACAACGTGATGCTGCACGGTTTTGAACTCCGCCGTTTGTACTCCGAAGCGCCTTATAGCACGTAAAATACG